TTTCATACTGTTGGCATGGCATTTCTTTTGAATATTACCTTTGGATTCCATACCAGGAAGCTGGTTGCTAATTAATCACTGGGATTGCGGCCAACCAGCAAACAAGCATCAGTGCAAGTTAAAAAAAGACATACCTGAAACTTCTTGTTAGCTGCACTCAGCAGGGGATACATCTGAAGCAGTGGCACAGTTTTGGTTCTAAAATCACTTGTTTTTTAGAGCAAAGATGTGACATATGAAGCTATCATCATTCACTGCTCCTCTTTCCATCCCTCCCGCCCCCCCATGGTCAGTTGAAGACAGCAGATAACAGTTGCAATAAACTGTACTCCATTAACTTTCAATTTTCTTCTAAGACATCTCGTATTTGCCTTACGGAACAAAAAGAATGACTAGTCAGAACTAGTGCAGCGGAACAATATGGGGTAAAGGGTTGAACAATGAGCCAGCTGAAAACAAAGGGACTACAGCTTCATTGCAATGTGTGTCAAGGCAATAACATAATTAGAGACAACTGCTGCAGTTATGCATGGTCAATTAATTTGAAAACTTCAACTTTATTTATATGTTCAGCAATTAGAGGAAAATACATAACAATTGCCTGAAATTGAGAAAGATTCCCATATAAATTATGTACAGGATTTGCACCGTTCTAAATAAAATATTAAAAAGATCATAAAACTTTATGGCTCTTCCTAGTGTTCCAAGATTAATAAATTTACCTTTCTTCTATATTAAAAACATGTCTTCATAGAGGTTTTTCTTTTTGTACAAAACCTATGTAGAAGACAATGAATATATCAGGCCCAGATGCTACACAAGGCACTTCAGGATCATGAAAATGCTACCCCCATAAAAGCTGGATTTTGACTAAACACACACACACACTCATGTACATACACACACTACCAACTTTGAATCCCAAGAGGGTTAAAATGGGCAACATTAGCAGAGGCAGCACTTCCACAACAGCCAAAGGAAAGTTTGCAATTACATGAGCTAGTTTATAATACAGTTTTAATTTCCATTCAGACCTTGAATCTCTTACAAAGTGCTTTCTGCAGAGAACATTTATTTTACAGGCACCAAATGTGTGTGTAGGGCCTGTCTTGACAGATCTGAACTATGTCGATTTTCATTATCCTAAACTCTATGGTGAGTGGAGGAAGGGCAGGGGAGGGGAGAGTTAAATGCTGTAGCATTAGGATCTACTTTGAGATTACTCCTCGCTTGCTTCAAGCCCCCTTTCAGCCTTCTGTTGCAGAGATTCAAAGACACACAGATAGAACTTGAAACCCATTTTTGAAGCCGCTCATCTAAAATGACTGCAGCTCCCTTCTAAATTAAAAGGTGAGCTTGGAGTGTGGCACTCAAGGGACCACCACATGGTTCTGGATGGCTCTCAGATTTCAAACTTTAAATTAGTTTTTCCCCAGACACATTTCGATGCATCCCACTGCACAGAAAGCCACCGTCCTGCTGCCCTGAACAGCCCTCTGCGTTTATGAACCCCACCAACACTAGAGTAGAATATCTTAGACTTGTCTGCTAACACCAGCACTTCCAGCAAAACTCCTTTTAAATGGATTCACTGCTTACATGAGCACCTCTCTGTACTGTATCTTGTTCCTAATGCTTTGTTAATGGCTCTTTATTACAGTCTGCTATTGTAAGAGACTATCTTATCCATTATATTTGCCTTCCAAGTATCTCCCAAAAGAGTACAGGCTAGGAAATCATTTTGTACAGCCTTGGCCCTGGGACATGCTACGTGCCGTACTGTAACAGGGTCCTGAGATTTGACTGTTCTGTAAACAGAAATCTATGATACCTACCCCAAAATATCAGACCTAAGCAAGATATATGCATCTCACACTCTTAAGTAAGAGGACACTTTCTCTCCGTTTCTGTAACTGTTTCAGAAAAGGAGAAAACCCTCTTCTCTCAGCTGCTGCCAAGAGGATTGTTTTTCTACCCCTCTGCAGATGATGATCACATGGTTGAGGTAACAGCAGGCATAATCTACCCAATGGGAGTGGAAACGACATTCTACAGACTGCAGTGGGTATGGAGAGCTCCCAACAACTGCCTTTGGAAACAGTACAGACAGCATTTCCACTGATGGGATTAAATGAAATCAGCTGCATTGTGCTGCAGCCATCCCGTTTCCTCTTTGGCTGCAGGTACTGGCATGAACTATGATAAGCCTCAGATAAACAGCAGTCTTAGCCCTCTGCTTTCAATAAAGCACTGACTTATCAGTATTCAGCAAAAATGCAGTGACTGATTTTTAATTTAAAAAGGGAACGGAGGGAGGTGTTGATAAAAATCTTACACTTAAAACCGGAGTCTTCGGTTTGCAAGAGACGCTAGTGTTCCTTGAAATAAAGAAGCCATTTAACTGTTGGCAAAACTTCCCCATATTTGTGCAAAATTAAATTTCCTTTCCAGTAAACAGCAAGCAACATCTTTTTCACCTCTGAAAATGAATGTTATGCTTATGAAAGGTACTGGCCTGACAGCCCTGAAGTGTAAAATCCCTTCTTTATCCACAGAACAGGGGCAGCCTGGACAGCAGCAATGCAAGTTTCTGCTGTGCTCTTATATTATGCCCAAACCTTGCCCTGAAAGAACTGTGGCCTTGCTCCATAATCTCTCAGGGTTTCAGTTTTCTGGTATGACTGTGAATAATGCTGTCAATTAGTAACTTTAGCAGTAGTTTTAGCAACAGGGTCTTAAGTTGGTGATTTAAGATTGCTAATATTCCCTAAGCTACTGAACCACATCAAGTAATTTTTGCACATTATTCTTATTCCTACTGCTACCCTTATTAATATAGGTTCTCTCCTTTTATTTTAAATGGACAGGACCACAAGCCACAGTATGGAGTAACTTCTGACCCTTTTTGGGTGTTCCTATGTTCTTTGTTCTTTAGAAACAGCTTACAACTTCACCCTGCTAACCCTCCTCCTCAGGAGAATGGGGAAACTGCCATTAAAGAATGGAATGGAAGATGCTGATGCTTTTAAAGTATGTGACATCTATTTGCATTCTTGCTCAGTGAACCTTAATGGAGCAGTCCAAAGCATACTTTCTTTCCATAGCCAGTATTAAAACATAAGATTCCTTTTTCGCTGATCACAGATTATGTTTATTTTAAATCAGCTCTTTGCATTACCGGCAGCTCACCTCTCTTCCATCCTGGAGAAAGATGGTCTATAAACTTACAGTAAAGGACTGGGAATTAAGAGAGCAACAGATTCCTTGCGTGACCATGGATAAGTCACTTAACCTTTCTGTGCCAGCATTTCTTCAACTGTGAAATGAGGCTGATTTCTTCCACCTTCCCAGTGGGGGTTGCTGCAAGCAACAATGTTTGTACATCATGCAGACAACCATAGACTCGGACTTAATATGCAGGAGCAAAATAATACTCGTAGATTTTTAAAAACAGTAACGTTCAGCTGACTGAGCCATCTCACTAGACAATGTTTCAGACACTGCTGAGGAAGGTGAGCTAAGAGAGAACCTACAACAAATAATCTCCTGCATGAAGGATTTTCACGTCAGAGAGAACTCTGCATAACCTGCTTGTAGCTCAGTTTTACTGCATTTACATCTCACATAACACTCCCCAACATTTTGCATCCCCTGTTGAGGACATGACTAAGAGCATACCTAATGGACAACATGGTAATATATTTCCTATACAACATAGTACAGGGGTGGCCAACCTGCAGCATAAGCACCACACAAAGCATGGACAGCAGGTCAGGGAGGGGACAGGCAGCAGTAGATATGGCAGAAGGCAGAGCAGGAGGTCAGGCAGGGAGCAGAGGGAAGGAAGTAGAAAGCAAACAGCCGATTACTTTCTGCTCCCAGCCCAGAGCAGCAGACTGGGCAGAGGAAGGGGACTGGAGCAGTATTCAGAGAAAGGGCTGGGCTAATTTCTAGCACACCTGACAAAAAGGTTGACTCCCACTGATACAGTACATCATATTTTATACCATACCTGTTTGGGAAATTCAATAACTTAGTTCAAGAGCAGACATGGCAGGCACCGAGTAGCCTTAAGACAAAAGTAGCTTCCAAGGAGCTTTCAACTAAGGTCTGCATATAGCATATATAAAATAATTAGCAGTAAAATTAAAAATAAGTATATATTAAAAATATACCTTAAGGTAGGTTTTACATAAATAGAACTGGTCTTACAGCATCATTTTCTTTAGAACACACAAGCTGAAGATTAACAGCTGTATGAATAATTGATTTTTCAGTCTTCCCAGTAAAATGGAAAAAAAAAATTAGTTTCAGCTCAGCCAAAACATTTCGTCTGAGCTGAAATATTATGTTTCATTTTCAGAGTTTTATCGTCTTTTTCTTGAAAATTAAATTTAAGCCAATTTAGTTTCAAAAGCATTGCTTCAAAGACAAAACAAAAAAGTCAAAATATCTTGTTTAGACTTTTCTGAAAGTTTGGTTTTTGTTTTTTTCCTGAAACTAGCCCCTGACTTTGAAAATATTTTTGAATTTGTGCCAATTAATCCAAAACTGACTTGTTCATCAGAAACATTTTGCCCTGCTCTACTGAAGTTTACAAACAGGCATCCAAGAGCACTGTGGCTAAGTACAGATAGTCAAAAAGCCTGAGGCTGAATCGATTCGGTCTTCACAGCTTAATCTAAAATGCGCAGAGTGAACCAATAAGCAAGTGAACAGACATTCAGTTTGATTCTGGAAATGCCACATGCCTGCAGTGGCCCAGGCCAGAAGCCAGGGGGCGCTAGAGTACACCTCCTTGCTCACCTGGAGCAGACAGCTTGGGCCGAGACTAGCCCACCCACCCTGCAAGGTGGGATTTGCAAATCATCCTAGGATGCTGGGGGACTGTGAGTTAACTTGAATCTGGAGAGGCTATGGGACAGAAGTTTAATAAACCGATTGAACCTAAATCAGTTAAGTCTGATGCTACATCCATCCAGGTTTGTCTTCAGCTGGTTTTGGCCATTATGAAAGCAGTTTATGTGTACTGAACTTCTGTTGAGTTACAGATTTGAACCGGTTTCCAATCACTTACCCCAGTTTATGTATCATTTCTGTCCCAGGCCTATGTATTCATGTCTAATGTATCAAGTCTCTCATTACGTCTTTACCTCGCTTCCTTTCTCCCTCCCCCTCCAGCCCCACCCGCACAACTCACCACTACATTACGCAGATGAGTAAACCTTGTACATACAACAGTTGCAGGCTTTGATGTCTAGATTATAAGATATTTGGTGCAAGGACCTACTCTTCCTTTCTGATTGGAAGGTATTGTGATTACCAGTGGCACTAAAGGAATTCTGGCGAAGTACAACTCCTGAACAGTACAGCTTCTCCATTCCCCAGACACAAAGGGCAAGAAAAAAAACAGAAGAGATTAGAAACATAACATCAGTAGAGAGGTTAAAAACTGAATTATTTTACATGGTGAATACAATGATGACTTTAGCCTGCTATTGCCCCTTTAAACCTCCTACATGTTTTATCTTGCCAGAAATAAGAAAATATTGTCTTCTTTTTGTGCCCCAGAACTCATGATTGCACGAAGATGAGAAGAAGCAACACCCAAATCTAAAAGCGGGTGTAATTTTTCTTCACCATCCGTGATGGAGAGACTATAATAATATCATCTGAATCGTCCGAGTGAGCCTCATCTACAGGTGGAGAGATGGTGGCCTGCAGCTGCTTCTGGGAGGACATGGCTAAAATAACCACAAAGAAAACAGGAGCATCAATAAACATTAACAAAAATAAGCCCTTGTGGGAAACATAATATCCTCCGGCCCATTAGGTTTCCAGAATTATCTACAGTAATGAAGAATTCTAATCCATAATTTTCTGTGCGTAACTTTTCCCTCCCTTCTTTTTTAATGCAAGAACATGGCAAGCGTTAAACCAATATACTGACCATGCTTGGTTTGTCTTATCATCATGAAGACTTCCCAAGTGGTTACACATGACAAAATAAAGCAATTTGGTACTGAAGCCTCCTTATATTGTAAAAACAGATATTTATTAGGAGGTCAGAAAAGGAAAAAAATCAACCCCAAACAAGATCGAGCTCAGTGGAAATGTCACAATGAAGTCTTTAGTCAGTCATGAAGGAAAGAATTGGAACCAAATGACTGAGAACAAAGGGAATTCACTCTCAAAACATAAGTTTCTTGAAGCAGTCTTTTTCTTTCATACGGCTATAATGTACCAAGCATTCTATTTGCATGAAACACCACCATGGTTAACACAAAAAAACTGTGACCAGTGTTTCTGCATTTTGATTTTTTTGACTGAATATGAAAGGTCCAATGATTAACATCTGCTTGGCATTTCTCTGTGTGTTTAGATATAAGTTGATAACTTGTGAATGCTACATCTGAACCATTCCAAAATTTCAGGAAATGTTCCAGGCATGAATGGGCAGGACCTGCTGGTTTTGATGAACATGTGCAGGTCCAGAGCCTCAGAGCCATTTCCCAACCTGAGATGGAGAAGGAAGTTATAAGTAGGGACCTACAGAAATCAGGGTGTCTACACCCCCGCCACCACCTGATTTCATGGTCTGAGTGAAGCGCCGGTCACCATTTTCATGGTGGAGCACAGCACCGCTCTCCCCCATGCCTCTGATTGACTGAGGGGCCCTGGAAGGTCTACTCTTCCCCATACATTGACAGATGGCCATCTGTTCATCTCTGGGGAGGGGTAGGCCTTCCAGGGCCAGATGGCCATCTGTCAATCTCCAGGGAGGGGCAGGACTTCTGGGGCCCTCTGACCAGCGGTGTGGGGGCCCGCTGTGCTCTGCCATGACAATCTCCCCAACTCTTCCTTCCCCCTATGCTTCAAGACACTAGGGCTTCCCACCATTTTCTGTTTGCAGCTCCCTCCCCCTGCCCCTTGGCCATTTTTGCACTTTTTCACAGGGGAGGGGCAGTCTAGCAATTTTGCAGTTTCCGTGAAAAATGAAAAATTGCAATTTCAGTAGGTCCCTAGTTATAAGATTTAATTCAATAATAATTTAATATGATTTCATAGACATTAGGGCTGGAAGGGACCTTGAAGATCATCAAGTCCAGCCCCCTGCTCCAGGTATCTTGCAATCTTCTTCCTGCTCCTCTGTGGAGAGCCCATGCTACTAAAAGCACCTATGAAGGCAGTAGCATAACTATGGAGGGGCCATGGGAGCTGGCCATGGCAGCACCATAATAAGCGTGTATCTGGGGGAGTGAGTGGAACAAGCTGGATAATATTGCCTTTCCTGGATAGTATTCCCCTCACCCCTTCCAGGCAGACTTGGAGTTTTATGTCCATTATATATGTAGTGGGGAAGTGAAGGAGAGGAGCCAGTGGATCATGGGGTTGCCGATGGTCTGGCTACAGGGCTGCTGCAGCTGGAGTGGAGCTGACGCTGCTACAGCAGCAGCAGCACCTTGAAAGATGCCTTTCCTTCCACCCACACGCCCATCCATCTGTCCATGCTGTACCACCCACCCTCGCAGTCTACAGTGGTAGGTATACCTTGCCTCCCTTCCCCTCTCTCCCCTCTGGTTGCTCAATAGGCATGCCTTTGTACAACAGCAATGAGTCTGGGTGGCTGTTGAGATGGAGTACTTTCTGAAGTGAACAGAGAATCAATCAGACTCTTTGCTGTTTTGTCTAATTTTTAATACACAAAATATTCTTTATATAGACATTACTTTGGGGAAAATGTTGTTTTATATTGCCTCATGCATCAAGTAATGTCTTACCTTGTGTTTCACTTGTGTTTTCCTCTGGCATGTTGACAGGCAGTTGGGAAGAATTACTTTAGAACTTGCAGCTGTGTTTCCCCCTTGAAAGAACTCTCACAATTTTGTGGACAGCTGTAAGCTTTTCTTGCTATGGGTTTCCTACAGCACTCCTTCTATAACAGTTCTGGGCACTCTACACAGCTCTACCAGTTCACCTCCATCCCTAACTGCTGTATCTTCTGCTATCCCTGGCCTGATCCTCTATCTAACACAGGAAATGGGCAATGCCACCATTTTTTTTAAGATCAAGCATTTAGTAGGTTCTAGGCTGACTCCCTTAAACGTATTTCACTTGTCATATGCTGAAAGCCAATAGGCTTCTGAATCTGGATTGCACAGACTGGTAGTAGCAGATATCCAAGGCTCCTTAAAACACTTCCATGTTTATAGCTTATCTCAAAATAATCCCAAAGGACAGCATAACTAAATGATGTCTTACAAAGCATATATCAACAGAACACGCACGGCTGATGACAAATCTAGAGGTCATCAAATGAAGTTCAGCCTTGGAAGATAGGAGGCAAAAGTCTCATTCAACTACTCAATGATTTAAAGCTCTCGAGCTCTAATGAAATACATTACATGAGAAGCCCACTGAGGTAACAGATACTTAGATCAGATAGGAGCTAGGAGTTATGGGGGCTGTAATTTTAGTAAATGGCAACTTCTACAAAATGAATTCAAATGTTTAACAAATGAATATAACCAAAACAGAATGCAAAGCAATCATACTCCCCTCCACCGAGGAGGCATTCGTGCTAGACCTGCTTTCCTTCCTTTATTAGTGTTATTTGTCTTCTGGGAGTGTTTGGTTACACTATCCATAAATGACCATGCCTAAGAGGAAATAGCTCGCAGAGGTATGTAGCCTGAAAGCTACATTTGTGAAGACTAATTCTTGTGCTTATGCTCTCTGTCTCTTCAGTAACAAGTTAAACAATCTCTCACCTTTTACTCAGTTTTGAATAATTTGCCACAACCTTGGGGATAATGAGAAAATGCTCTTTAACTCCTAGCCTCTTTCTTCCAATACTTACCAAAAGAGGGCTGACAGGAAGAAGCCTTGAGTTCCTGTGGTCTCTTCTCGGTCGCTTCTACAGCAGGTTCTTCTACAACTTCTTCGCTGGGCAGGTCACTGTCTTCAGCATCTGGAATAATGTAGCTTTCAGAAGCCTCAAGGCTGAAGAACAATAGTGCTCTGTGACAATTAATTACTGTTATCAGGGTTACCCGGCTAGCTGTACTGCATACCCCTCATGGTGTCTCATTTGACTTCATCCTAGCAGGTGCAGTACCTTGGGCCATCAGCTTTCCTGGGATCTAATTTCACAATAACCTGGGTTACAGCCCCACAAGCACTAACCAGAACTACCTCAGAAAGTCCAGTGGGGTTAGACCCTAGAAACATGACAACAGCTCATTAAAACAACTCAAAAACAAACTTCAACATAAAATGCTCTTTATTCTACCACTCAAAAGAGACTGCACATAGGAAGGAGGTATAAAATGGTTTCCTCATATCCACATATTCCCTTCGTAACCTTGCTCCCAAACTCCAAGCTTGGAGGAATGGACTACACTACTTCCTCCCTATCTCTGTGTGAGATTCCAGAGGCAGTCAGCTCTTTCACTGATACAACTTAGGCCAGCATCTCCCTCCTCACCCCAGTCATACTACAGACTGCTTCGCTAGGGGGAAGAGCTGGACTGGGAATTCTCGGGTCAGCTCATGGAGGCAGTAAAGTCAAGGGATGTGGCTGCCATGGGTGACCTAAACTACCCAGACATCTGCTGGGAGGAGCAGTCGGCCATGTCCAACCACTCATGTAGGTTCCCAGCTGGGATACAGGACCTCCACCTAACCCAGGAGGTGCGCAGTCCCACCAGGAGAAATGCCTTGCTGGACTTGGTCCTTGCCACGGGCAATGACCTGGTGAGGGCTCTGCAGGTACTCGACCACCTGGGCGACAGTGATCATCATCTGCTGGGATTTATTATCCAGAGCAGGGTGGTGAAAGCAAGCAGCAAGGCAGAGGCCCTCGACTTCAGGAGGGCCAACTTCTGTAAGCTGAGAGGTTAATAGGAGAGGCATTGGGGTCTTGGAGCTTCAATGAGATGGGAGTCCAAGACGGGTGGTTGTTCCTCAAGGAGATGATCCTCTGAGCTCAAAGGGAGTCAGTCCCAATGTGCACCAAGGGAGGCAGGAGGGCTAAGAAGCTCCCATGGCTCAGCAAAGGCATCCAGGGATGCCTGAAGGCAAAAAAGGTGTACAAACAGTGGAAGCAAGGGGCTATCACCAAGGAGTATTACACCTCCATTGCTGGGGACTGCTGGGAGGCTGCTAGGAAGGCCAAGGTGGAGATGGAGCTAGAGCTAGTGACCAGAATTAAGGATAATAAAAAGTCCTTTTTCAAATGCATAGAAAGTAAGAAGGCGGCACCAGGTAACGTGGGTCCCCTACAGGATAGGCTTGGCAATCTGGTGATTGCGGCAAATGAAAAAGCTGACCTCTTTAACAAATTCTTTGTCTCCATATTCCTGAACAGGGACCAGGACATCTCTCCCACTAGAACTGCGGATGGACCCAGGGGAGGCACCACCATGCCTAGGGTCAGAGACAACCTAGTTGGGGAATTTGGAGGGGATGGATGTGTTTAAATCAGTAGGTCCAGAAGCTGTTCACCTGAGAGTGCTGAGGGAATTGGCAGGGGTCATAGCAGGGCCCTTGGCATGGCTCTATGAGTGCTCATGGGGCACTGACTAGGTACCAGAGGATTGGAAAAGGGCCCATGTGCTCCCCATTTACAAAGGGAGAAGGGAGGACCCTGGCAGTTATAAGCCAGTCAGTCTTACCTTGGTCCTCTGAGAAAATTATCAAGAAGCACATCTGCAAGGGCCCAGCAGGGGAGGTAATGCTCAGGGGCAACCAACATGGGTTCATTGAGGGCAGGTCCTGCCTGACTAACCTGGTTTCTTTTTATGATCAGGTCACCAAGTTCCTGGATGAGGGTGTCGGGGTGGATGTCGTCTTCCTGGACTTTAAGAAGGCCTTTGACAGAGTTTCCCACCACGTTCTCTTAAAAAAACTAGGTAACTGTGGCATTGATGCCTACAGGCAGATGGGTGGCAAACTGGCTACATGGTTGCACCCAGAGGAGTGGTGGGGGACAGGTCATTTTCAACCTGGAGGGATGTGGGCAGTGGAGTCCCCCAGGGCTCGGTCCTGGAGCCTGTACTGTTCAACATCTTTATCAGCGATCTGGATGTGGGTGTGGAAAGCACGCTGTTCAAATTCGCTGATGACACCAAGTTGTGGGGCAAGGTGGGCATGCTGGAGGGGAGAGACAGAATCCAGCTAGATCTAGACAGGTTACAGAGGTGGGCGGATAAGAGTAGGATGCAGTTCAATGCAGACAGGTGCAAGGTGCTGCATCTAGGGAGAAGGAACCAGCAACACACCTATAGGCTGGGGAACTCCCTTCTTGTCAACACGGTGGTGGAAAGGGATCTTGGAGTCATTGTTGACTCCAGGATGAAAATGGACCGCCAATGCGAGGAAGCGGTCAGTAAGGCTAACTGCACCTTGTCATGCATCTACAGATGCATCACAAGCAGGTCCAGGGAGGTGATCCTTCCCTTCTGTGTGGCATTGGTCAGGCCGCAGTTGGAGTACTGCGTCCAGTTCTGGGTGCCACACTTCAAGAGGGATGTGGCTAGCACTGAGAGGGTGCAGAGGAGGGCCACTTGCATGGTCAAGGGGCTGCAGGGCAGGCCCTATGAAGACAGGCTGAAGGGCCTGATCCTATTGAGCCTCCACAAGAGAAGGCTGAGAGGGGATCTGGTGGTGGTTTACCAGCTCACCAGGGGGGACCAGTGAGAATTGGGGGAGGCTGTGTTCCCCCAGGCACCACCTGGGGTTACTAGGGAATGGCCACAGATTGTTAGAGAGAAGGTTCAGGCTGGACATCAGGAGACATTACTTACAGTTAGGGCTGCCAAGCTCTGGAATGGGCTCCCAAGGGAAGTGGTGCTCTCTCCTACCTTTGGGGTCTTGAAGAGGAGGCTGGACAGATATGTGGCTGGGGTGATATGACCCTGGCACCTGTTCCTGCCCAGGGCAGGGGGTCAGACCTGATGATCTGGTTAGGTCCCTTCTGACCCTAAACACTATGATACTGTGATGATACCCCCCTTCCTGCACATCAGACCCATGAGTGTAAAACATTCCAGTGTGGATGTAATCTAACAACCTCTGTTATTTTCTTTGACGTTGCATATCTGAGGCTATTGTATCTGTGTCATTGTTCTACCTTTCCTGCTCCATTCTTTAACACTCCCTTTACTGCCTTCTCTGATGTAACTTTGTATTCAGGCAGGTAGCAATGCACAATTGCACAAGGAAATGAACTCATGCAGAATGCTCATAAAAGATAATACATTCTCCCAGTTTGTCATGATTTGTATTATAATAGCAGTACTTAACCAGATTGTCTGGCACTAAAGTTTGTTTTATTGCCATAGTTTCTGTTGTTTTTTCAACAGTTCCCAAGTACATTATCTTAGTCATCTGTCTCATTGGGGATACACCTTTACTAGAAGATGGGATATATCTCTTTAAGAAACTAAGCAAGAGAAGTGAAAATCCCAACTTCTTTATGGCTTAAAGGCTAAAATCCAGTGGAAAGTATCATATTACTGCTGGGGGAAAATAGGCAGGAAGCAGAGAAGACACACTTGGAAACAGCCATACCCTTGACACTAGCTGTAGGGGATGATATCTGGTTGACAATGACAGGACTCCACCACTTCCTGGTGTCACCAATCTTTCACCAAATCAAAAGTAAATGTTTGTGTATAAAACTGTCTGCGCACCACTTATAGCCCACATGCTTATGGGGGTAGGGAGAAATGAGATTACCATGAAGCGCCAAGGTGAAGGCTGAAGGGGAAGGGGAAGGCTTCCTGAGTGCTGGTGAGACTGGTTTCTTCTCCCTCATGTAAATAACAGGGTCTGGTTTTTCACTTGCTGCACTGGAGGCAGAGAGCCTGCAAAAGACACTTTGCATTAGCAGGAGGCACAGAACAGGGACTGCTACTCTGCCTGCAGAGATGGAGGCAGCAAACCTGAGAAAGGTAGTGGGAGATGCTATTAGCCAGAGGAGATTTTGCAGGTAGGCTCTACATCAAAGCCATCACCTTGTTTCATTGCAATGATGGACCATGCGGAGGATATGGGCCTGTTCTATATTAATAATATATATGATATATAATTGTTAGATTGCTGCAAGAGATTTTTTCTACGTGGATGTGAACCTTGAAGGGGCTATCAGGAAAAACATGCAGGAATAAAGACTAGAAAATGAGATGCTTCCTGGGCAAACACTTGAGATCAAAAGTGTAAGTCTGGCAACAGGCAAGAAGTCACTTTCAGAAGACAAAGAAGGGGGTGTCAGTTGTTACAAACTGTTCAAAGAAAGAGGCTGAAACAGAGGGAGACCCTATGAAGAGAGTTTGAAAAAGCTGTGCTACCTGGTTAGCATCAGGAGGATGGTAAGCTAGAGAGACCTACCTGTGGACAGCTTTTAAGAGTAAACAGCCCTGTTTTTTTCAAAAAGATCTACAGTAACTGTCTGTATACCACCAGCCACAGCACTCAGCAGACACGTAATGAAGCCAAGTCATTACACAGTGTACTAGCCATGACTACTTAAGCAGAGATGACTGCTCAAGTAGTCAGTAACCCACGTTCTTGTGTAAGCTTGGGAGGTTCATGACTCCAGCCCAAGAGAAGCCCACAGCTGTGGAAGTGCACCCCAAAAGACCTAAAGAAGGGACATGAGGCAGCTCCCCCTACAGTCTTCACAGCCAGTATCCAAAGCTTTTGAAGCCGTAAATGATGGAAAGAGAGAAAGCGTTTTCCAACACAGTATCAGAAACTAGCTAAGCCGGGTGTTCTGGGTGATGGAAGTCACTGAGCTGCAGTAAGATTGTTCTGCTGTTCCCTGTCTCCCTCCTTTCCCCATAACTGTAAGCTAAGCTCTGTTTTTTTATTTAGTGTATGATGATACAGTGATGACAGAGCAGAGAGAAACATATTCACAATTTCACATCCAAATTTTGCAGTCAGCTGCAGGTGTGGCATTATTAAGATACAACAGAATTACACTAAATGCACAAAGAGAACATTCAGAGTTGATGTGATTCAAAGTTTGCCATGTCCTATCCTGATTTGGTTTAGAGAAGACAGAAGATGTCTAGGGAGATTAAAGCCACCTGGGTCTAATTGTAGGATTTGTAATAATAATTTCTGTATTAGAAGTGGAATTGAACCACTCTTGTGTCCAGGCATCTTGGATGTTAAATAAGTCTTGCTCAAGTTGAAATGCTGTTCTCCAAGCAGGATATCTAGGAAGTGGGTTTAAGAGATTTTCATGTACAGGCAGCTGTAGGTTATTTTTTTATTTTTGTCAATAATTTAGTTAAGGGTCTTTATACTGGCACTTTAGACATCCCTACCTAACCCAGTGCAGTAGAACCATGTTTGACAGTTACTTTTTCCCAAATATGACTATTCTGTGTGTTTACTTTTCCCATCACAAAAAGATAACAGACAACAAGAATATATGAGAAGAATATTGTGGCATGCAGGACTCCTGCAGAGATGCAAAAATGGGGCATTTTTGTTGCAAGCTTCTCCTATGCATTTCACTTGTGAATACACTGTTCGTGCTTTACATATGTAATACCTGAAGCAGATGTTTTTGCTAACTTGAAGCTTCTGATAACATGTTATTTAGAAATGTCTCAGGTCATAAAAACGAGTTCTAGTATTCTCTTGTGAAAACACCTTTGCCTGACTTACCTCTCCTCAAGCCGTCTTTGACGTGCTAAGTGCGCCCTGAAAACTGACTGAATGAATGTCACAATCTCCTCTTCCTCCCTGCAGTCAGAAGGTAAACTCAAAGAGCTGGACCCATGAGACACGCTGGAGCTCTACAGTGCAATCAGATAAAAAGAAAATTGGGCTTTTTACAAATTCCTTGCAAACTTAGCAAACCTTTGACATTTCTGCTCTTGATTGTGCATGCAGTATCACCTAGCAGCGAGCAGACTCCCATCTTTTGGGGCAAAGCCTGTGAGCTTTTGCCAGATTTCTGTTGCTACTGATCTTATGATAATGGGATCATCCTACAGGTCTTAAAGAACAAACTTTGATGTGCCCGTATTTATGGTAGATAAAGGGTAGGCAGCTGAAAGGAAAGTTAATTTATTCCAGCACTGTTGTGGGCAGGACTTTCTCTCAAGCCAAGAGAGGTAAGGCAGTTCCACTCAGCTGGACCAGTTTACTGAGCTAAAACATTATAATGAGGAGCCATATGGAGGAGCATATTCATATCACGCTGCCTGCATCTAGATGATGTTCAAGAAACTAGTGATTTGCAGCAACTAAACTTTTAATCAGTAGGGATGTCTTTTCATATTCAGAGCCAGGCATTTTGGGCCAAGTGTGATGTGACTTACAAGAAACACTGCAAATCTTCAGCAGAGCATGCTGTATACAAGATCCTTTGCTCTTTCCAAGCCAGCCATCATTTCCAGCATCTTGTTTTCAGATTGCAATGATTAATGTTGGCCTACTGCTAAAATGACTTCATGAATACTTGGGCGTGAGGGCAGCTTTCCAGAAAAGTTAAACCTCACAATACAACTGCTTCAGATAAAGGGAAAAAAAGAAAAAAGAGACTCAGACAGAGATTGAAGTTTACTGCCCAAGGAAGCTATGGTTTTCTTTGGAAGGAGGACTATATACCTGAGAAGGTAAAAAGGAGAGCAGGGGAATAGGTTTGACATCCTTCTGGGATGCAAGTGTCTGCAGGCCAGAGCACTTAAAAAAAAAAGACAAAAAATCCACTGGGTGAGTTAAGGAACTAAACCTGGAAGCCTAGCTCTTTGCACTGTAAACTCTATAAATAACAGAAAAGTAAAGTCATACAGCAGCCAGGTCCCTGCTTGCCCCAAAGTTACCTTGTTTCCAAGGCCATTTGTGGTGTGAAATTTTCTACTGAGTGTCCTGCTCAGTAACAGTTTCTGCCGAGCTAAATGTCCCCTGAAAGCTGCCTGAAGCACAACAGTCGCCTAGCAGGAAAAGAGATGAATGGATGTTAACTCCCCGGAAAGATGGCAGCTACATATTAAAGCACAGTCCCAAGGGAAGAAGCATTGTGGGAGAAAGAACTATTTTCCCCATGCCATGACAAGTATTTGATGCACATGCACTTTCATTTAATCAAGAGGCACCCCCAACCACTTCACATTTACTCTTCTGAAATCCAGAAGGTTCCCAACCCATAAATGATGGAAGAACCCCCGAGATGCAATACTCCACAGAAAATTTAATCAGGCAATCTACACATGATGGAGCCTGTCAAATGCAATTAAATTCTAGCTGCCAACATTAGCCCATATTTCACAGATACAGCTATGCACTCATGTTCCCATCTTAGATCCCATCTACCCAGCAGGCTTTGCTACTTAATAATATCATCAGAAACCAAATGAAGTCTGGCAGACATTCTGGTGATTCTGTCAAACAAAATTCTTTCCTCTCTGCTAAGGGTTTTATTTCTGAACTTGTTCTAAATAAAAAAAAATGCACCAAGAAGGTAGACTGACACATTTAGATCATGATTCTGCTAGAATTACACCTTCTGATTATTACCCGCTTAAGGTCATTTTTAAGTTTATTTTTATGCATCCAGTACACTATTACATTCTACTATCAGAAAAATAACAGACTCATACAATCCAGGATTTTATCACAATTAGGACTGGTCAAATAGTTTCCATCAGAAATGGATGGGGGATTTTTTTAACAAAGCACTAGGTTTTCAACTACATAATGTTTTCTGAGAGTCCCTTTTCACCAGAATATATACAGTTCTTGTAAAAAAAAACCCTAAGTGCTTGAAAAATAATTTTATTAGTCTACTTGCCTCAGTTCCTCAGTGGAATTGTAGTTGTTTCCTCCTACCCCTGTATCCCTGTCGAGCTTGGCTCCCTCTCACATGCTGTACCAGGGCCAAGTAATCTCCTGATGCAACTGCCTCCCCTCAAAATGAAGGGAGTTTGTGGAGTATCACGTAACCAGTGAGTACACAGAAAAAATGAGAGCGTAATACCCACAAACTAAAATTCCCCATGAAGCAGCTTTCCCAAAATCAAAACATTTTGCTTTTCAATTTTTCTTCCAGAAGTCAAAGTTTTTCATAGGCACACCAATTCTCTGATTAGCTGATTACAATGCACATGTGCAAAAGAAAGAAAATATGGAAAATTAAAAGCCTCCCTTACCTGCATGGGGATATAGAGCACTGGCAACAGCCAGTATAAATTCTATAACCTGGAGGCATTTGCTTTGATCTCAGAAGAATGCCATCTCCCAACAGCCTAGCTTGTCCATTGAGTGAGAGAGCTGCTCCTCTACAATGGAGGGGCTTTCAGAGGAGTTTGCAAAGTAGTCTGTAGCCTTCCCTATAGTTCTTCCACACCTCCAACTTCAAGTTCTCCTGCCAAGCCTATATGCACTCCCAGTGCAGATTTCACTGAGCAGGTAAGGCTTCAGTTCTGCACTGAACCACATAAACATACCTTATACCCACAGACAGTAACACTGGACCTTAACAAGGCTTTGTACAGGCACAAAAGTACATTTACATGGATGCTAATGTAGGGTTGGGCCTAGATTCAAAACTGTTTTCACCGTAATCTTCCTTAGAGGGGTACTTTAGGAGCTTAATGAAAAATATAATGCCAATGGAGACATCATTTCCATCAAGCAACAGGCAAATGTTGTTCAATGGGAACTGTTGCTCCATGTGACCTGCTTCACATTCTTCTACCTAGAGGGGAAAATAGTGCACTGGGAACTTGCTCTGCCAGACTGGCCAACAAAGGGCCAGAGACCTGAGGGAAAGGGCTGTCATCCCTCTGTCACCACTTCAGCTTTGTTGCTAAAGAGAAATGAGCTGAAATGAGCAGTCCTCTCAGCCAGTCAGCAGCACAGGGCAGGGGTGGCAGCCACCTTGGGCTGCCCTTCATGAAGGCAGCCCTTCTCTCCCTGCCTAGTGGGCTGTGCAGGCAGACTGCAGCACCCAGAGAATTGCTGGCTCCCTCTGGGGAGCCAGAATTTTATTTTCAGTACGTTTTCTTCTCCCCCTGCCTCCAGATTTTGTGGGCAATGACAGATCTGTGATTTCTGTGAAATCACGATTTTGGCAGGTCCCTATTTATTACTCTGTTAACATATTAATTGTACTTTAAATGTAAAGTCTGGTCGTAGTTTCATTGGAAGATGCAAATACACTTCTTAACAAGGACCGTTTCCATTTTGAGTTTCTATCTCTTTTTGTTCTTTCTTCAGGCACGGCTCTTTATAGGAAGACTGTAAGAATTATTTTATTTTCCTACCATGGGAAAAGCCTCTATTTCATACCAATTTTCTGAAAACATTAACCTTACAGCAAAGGAAAAAAATATAGAAAATTTGAGACCAAAAGATGAAAGTTTAATAAAGTTACGAACTAAAAATAGGATGCCAGAATGTAAATCATTACACAACCCTAACTCATGCTATAGCAATCTTCATTACTTTAGCTAGAAAATTCTCTCTCCTAATAAAATGGCCCTAAAAATCGCAAAACACTTGGTTCTACTTCAATACAAATTAAGCCTGATTTTATGACAAAAATAAAATAACAATGAACTCACCTCATCCAAGGCAATTTCTTCTTTCTGAAAAGGGAAAACATCTAATTACAATCACAAGTATTTGTGATATTTCTTAAATAAAAGATATCTACAAAAAGTCTCTCTCCTTTTTTTAAATATAAGCACTAAAAAAGCAACCCAACAATTTCAGAAAACTGCTCCTGAGTTTTTTAAAGTGGCAGTTGTCTTTTTGGTGCTCGCTTTTTGTTTAGCTGGACAGAGATTATTATATTTCTCTATATGTTATCTTAGATATGATATACCTACAGATGCAGTGTTTATTTTGTTTGCTCGTAAAAACAAAGTTATTATTTTATTTTGTTCTTTTGCACGAGCTGGGTGAAGTTTAGACCAAGGAATATTCAGAGTTGCTTAAAGAGCTGCTATGATGATTTAAGTGTGACAAAGTCAACTCTGTCAACCATAATGTGTTACAAACATCACATACCTATGGTATTGTCTGGCATGAACCTGGTGTGGACATACCATTTACTATAGCAAGTTACTGCTCTCAGAAATTCTCTGTCATGGAAAAGAGTCCCAGCATTGTTTTATGAAAGCTGTGGTTCTGCTATGTAAAGGACATCTTAACTTCTACTTCTCACCCTCTAAGGCACTTGTATCCAAGTCATGTATATAAATACCATATTTTCACATATGCAACATGTCTTGGAATAAGACATGCACCTTGTTTTTCAAAGGATAATGAAGAAAAAAAATCTTCTTTGTAGTAACTAACTGAGTAGCAGCAGCTAGGGAGCCAAGCCAGCTCACTACTACCCTGTGGATTGCGTAGTGGCAGAAACTGTGGTTACTGTATTTCTTCATATATAATGCACACTCCAATTGTAAGCAGCTGTTTTTTGAAAAAAGGCATGGGTTGTATGCAAATTTTTATTTAAAAGTTGATGTAGATTTTTAAATAACTACATTCTTGTACTTGGCACCGCTCTATATTAGCCTTGGCAGATGCATGCATCTTCAATCCTTAATTCAGTTAAGCCATGCTTGCTCCCAGCAAAATGTGTATTTTCTATGAGAAAGCCAGCAAAGGTTCCAGATAAGAGTGACCCTGGAGGGGGAAGGGACAGGGGCTAAGGGGAAGAAAGTCAGACATTTAATATAAGCTAAAATCAGAGCTCAACAGTAGGTTACTCTATACCCCAAAACAAGGGTGAGGTAGGAGGATATAAGGAATTCCTCTGTCCAGTTAGGCAACTTTCACCTTCTTTCTGTACATCTTCCACTGTCTCTGGATGAGTTTGGCTGATTGCTCCTTTCTCTGGCTGTCTTTATCCACAAGAAAGGAGGCAGATAAAGGCTGCAAGGGTGAAACACTTACATTTAGTGTACAAGTAAGGTGGGATTGCTAGTCACTGATATATGATTTTTTTTGGACAGGTTATAAAAATGGGTCACAAGTGACCGGATAAAGAGAAGTCAACAAAGATAATCACTACTTTGCAGGAAGGAATTGGAGAACGGAGAAGAAAATCTGAATTTTGAAATATTTCTATCTTTAATGTATTCAGTGCATCATACGGGCATTTTTCAGAGTGCAAACCACTCCTCAATCTGTACTAATTGTGAAGTGAATGTGGAATTAGAAAGCTTTTAATTTAGATCTCCAAAGAACTATTATTCTACGTATTTCTAAGGCAACCAATCCCATAGTGTTGACTACCTTCATATTGAAAAGTGACATATTGCAATACTACAGACTAAGAATTAATGTCAAGAGACCGGATTTCACTGCCCTGTCACAGGTAAAACTCACATTACTTTCCACTGGGAATCTTCCAAGTGTAAAGGCTTGCAGAATTGGTCCCACCTTAATTTGTTTAAGCTTACTGATAAGCTGGCAATCATGCGACACTGACAGAAAAGGAGGCCTGTGCACATGATCACAATTCTGTTTCTCTGCCACAAACAAATAAGCTAATTGGAAACAAAGGACAAGTAAAGACAAACGCCAACAGTCTCTATCCTGGTTACTACTTCCTGTTCTTAAAGCAGAATTATGTACACTGTCTCAGGCAAAATAACCCAGTTGGGTCCATAGCATATGAACTCTTTCATCCTCTATATAAATTCAGCCTTAATTTTTATATCTATTGCATGCAACTATATACTGTGAAAATATTGAAAGATTTCTTTCTGGCTGTAAATTTAGGAACACAATCCTTGGCTGAGGCACAAACATTGGAGAAAGACCTCACTAGGGAAGTAATCCAAGAAGCTATTAAAAATCTACTACCAGGCAAAACGCCTAGACCAGACAGCCTGCCTGTACATTTTCATAGAAGCTACCCAAGAGAGATTAGTCAACCATTATTAGTCATGTTCAACTATGCCCACCAAATTTACTTATTTGCAGACTCCCTTAACTTGGCCATGCTAGTTCCATTTAAAAAAACTCAATAAAGACCCACTGTTGCAGTTCACATAAACCGACTACATAAAGACATCAAACCCCTTGCCAAATAGCTAGCAATGCAATTATACAGCAAAAGAGAAAGCAGGCACTATTATAACCCATGGTTTTTATTGGGAAGGACCACCTCCTTCAGTTTAGAAATAATTAAACACAGCCTGTCAATATTTAATGGTTGTGAAAATCCAACAGTGTAGTCACAAAATCAATTTCTTTACCTCACTCCCACCAGCAAACAAAAAACTGTAAGTGGAACACTGAAAATCCGATCTAATTCGCTCTCCTACCATACAATTTACACGGACAAAAAATATTTATTTTATGCGAGACCTGAGAAGAGTCCTTTCCAAAAGACCTATTTATATTCTTAAAAAAAAAAAAAAAAGTTATGTACATGTAAGTTGACAATTGGATCACATTTTACTCGAAACTACAATTTAATTATTAAAATTAGGAACACAGGGATTATTAAAAATAATAATAATTCCTATGTGAAAGAGCTGTACACCTCCTTGGAGGCCAACATCAGCTCCAAAAAATAGACAGCTTGAAACCCTCTGGGTCAAGTTGCAGGGGAGACATGGCGAGAGAGACCTAACTGTAGGTGTATACTACAGACCACCAAACCAGGGGGAGGAACTCGATCTGGAGTTCACCTGAGAATTGACCGAGGTCACATGTGCATGTGCCCAGCGTTCCCTCTAAGCTGTGTGGCATGCATGGCTGTGCAGGTGTGTTCATGCCACACTGCCAGGTGCACTTGCGCAGCCATGCATGTCGCGCAGCTTAGAGGGAATGCTGCACATGACACGGTCATCATGGGCTATTCTAATTATCCAGACATCTCCTGGGAGGAACACTCAGCCAAGTTGGATCGGTCGCAATCATTCCTGACCTGTGTCAAGGAGCTCTTCCTGACTCAGGAGGTGCATGGGCCAACCAGAGGTGACACTCTGCTAGATCTGGTCCTGGCCAAAGAAGACAACCTCATGACTGACTTAAATATAGACAGAAGTCTGTGCAACAGCGGCTATGAAACCATCATGTTTACTGTTCAGGGTAAGGCAGACAAATTGGATAACAGGATTGAAGTGTTGGACTTCAAAAATGCAAATTTCAACAAGCTTAGGTCACTAGTAGGGCAAGTGCTGAGGGACTAGGGACCAAAGGTGAAAGGTGTGCACAAACAGTGATTGTTCCTTAAGGACACGATCCCTGAAACACAAAAGAAGTCCATTGCCATGTGGAGAAAAGGTAGCAGAAGGGCTGGGAAGCCCTTTTGGCTAAACAGGGAGATCACGGTCCTCTTAAGAAAGAAGAAAGAGGCTTATAAACAATGGAAGTTTGGTGCAGGCTCCAAGGAGGACTATTCCATGATGGCTCGCATTTGCAGGGAATAGATAAGACAGACATAAGCAGCAACTGAACTTAGATTAGCAACAGGAATCAAGGACAACAAGAAGTCCATCTTTAGGTACACAGGGAACAGGAGGAACACAAATGGAATGTGGGGCCATTGCTCAACAACTCAGGAGAGCTTGTTACCATTACCCAGGAGAAAGCTGAACTCCTGAATGACTACTTCGCCTTGGTCTTTCACTGGACCAAGGGAAAAACCATGTCAGGTAGAGTATGAGTACAGTAGGAATAACTGCATTCCTACTATTGCTATAGAATTGGCATATGGCCACTTAAAAAAATTAGATGTATACAAGTCAGCAGAACCAGATGATCTTCATCCAACAGTGCTGAAGAAGCTGGCCGAAGTCATTGCAGAACCCCTGATGAAACCGTTCCACAACTCATGGCACTTTGGAGAAGTCCCTGAGGACTGGAAGAGGGCCAGTGTTGTGCCCATTCACAAGGACAGGAGGGAGAACCCGGGTAATTATAGGCCAACCAGCCTACCTTCCACCCTAGGGAAAATCCTAGAAAAGTTCAGAGTCTATCTGTGATAAGCTTGCAGTCTGGATGACAGCCAGCATGGCTTCAATGTAGGCAGGTCTTGCCTTCCCAACCTCATCTCTTTCTATGACCAGGTAACTCACCACCTGGACACAAGACAGCAGATTGACATTCTACACCATGACTTCCAAAAGGCCTTTGGATCTAGTATCCCATGATGTCCTCACAAGAAAATTGGAGGATTGTGAGACAGTCAGGTGGGTGAGAAACTGGCTGCAGGATAGGATCCAGAGTGTCACAGTGAACAGATCCGTGTCATTCTGGCGAGAAGTGAGCAGCAGTGTCCCACAGGGGTCAGTGCTTGGCCCAGTACTTTTCAATGTCTTTATTAATGATTTGGAAGTGGGGGTGGAGAGCTCACTGGCCAAGTTCACAGATGACACCAAGTTATGGGGGAGCGTGGTCATGCTTGAAGATAGGCTACAGATACAGGTAGACATAGACAGGCTGGCAAATGGGGCGGATCGGAACCTGATGAAGTTCAATGTCGAGAAACGTAAAGTACTCCACCTCGGGATGAGCAACCCCCTACACATCTACAGGCTTGGCTGCACCTAACTGGATAGCACCAGGAATGAAAAGGACCTGGGGGTAATAATAGACCACAGTATGAATATGAGCTGGCAGTGCGATGCTGTAGCCAGTAGGGCAAATAATACTCTGGCATACATCAATTGATGCATCTCCAGCAAAGACAAGGAGGTGATTCTTCCACTGTACTCAGCACTGGTGAGACAACAGCTGGAGTCCTGCGTCCAGTTCTGGGCACCACACTTTAACAAGGACATGGACAAGCTTGAGAGGTCCGAAGAAGAGCCACCCATATTATCAGAGTCTTAAAAGGCAAGCCATACGAAGAAAGGGTGAGGGATCTGGGACTCTTCAGCCTGAGGAAAAGAAGGCTAAGAGGGGACCTGGTAGCAGCTTACCGCTACACTAAGGGATTACATCAAGGGCTCGGTGAGCAACTGTTCACCAGGGCACCCAAGGGGAAAACCAGGAGTAACAGCCACAAACTCCTGAAAGATCGATTCAGGGTCAACTTTAGGAAAATCTTCTTCACAGCCAGGGTGTCCAGACTGTGGAATAAGCTCCCTCCAGAAGTGGTGCAATCACCTTCCCTGGAACTCTTCAAGAGGAGACTAGACAGTCACCTTGCTGGGGTCACCTGACCCCCTCCCCCCCAGTTATCTTTCCTGCTTGGTGCAGGGGGCTGGACCCAATGATCTTCCGCGGAAGATCATTGGGTCCCTTCCGGCCTTACCATTTATGAATCTATGGATCAATTTAGAAGCCCAAGGCCTGTATTTTGAAGCAATGGACAGATACTGGTCAAAACTGTAGTCTCTGGGGTTTTTTTTAAAGCTAACGTTACTTGGAATTCAAGAAATCATCCAACATTCAATGTACAATATACACTCTAAAAACTGACCTCTCACAACATCACTATATCAAAAATCATCATTCTCCTATTAAGTAGGAAACAATTTTTCATACTATGCTGCTATCTGTATTTATTGTGAAGCATATTTTCTTGTACAAGGTGATCAGAACCACCAGTAATTTCAGTTACTGGCAAATTCCTTCACTCCAGCTTTTTAACTTCATATAATGGATTTTTTCGCTGCATAAAGTATTACACAACTCTCATAACAGCATGGAAGCACATATTAATACCAGAAGACCTTTTTTAGGTACTACAGAATACAAGACTGTACCTTATTTAGAGTTTCTATGGGCTCATCTCCCATTTGTCTCCTGTCCTGCTCAGGTTTTGACTCCAGTTCTCTCACTTGCTCCGTAAGTCTCAGGATTTCTTCCCTACATTTGGGAGAACAGAGTCACTTGTAGAGAGAAATTATCTGTTGTCCCATGCATGTCCTCACAGTGAGATATGGAACAGGTGTTCAAAGAGTAATGGCAGTAGGTTAAAATCAGCAAGAGCCCAAAGTCACAAGCGTCAATGATATTTTAACAGTATTAATAATGCCTCTGGATACAACTCACTGACATACACATAAAAAGATAGCAGCAAATGTCTGTGATTTACTTTCACTTGCTACTAGTTCCTGATAGCTGGAACAAGATCCCATTTTTTTGCCTCTGCTGATTCTACGGGAATCTGCATGGAAGGGTAAGTTACACAACCCTCAGGATGGGTGCCAGAGCGTGGTGCACAAAAGCATTTTGCTTGGTACGTGCACCTCGGGGCAGACGATGGCAAAGAGGCCAAAACTGTGCTGCCACAACAAGGATCAGGTCCCTTGCCATCCATCCCTGGCATGCCAACATCTTACCCATCGAGGTTGTGGGTGTTTTTGGCACTCTGCCCAAAAACACTACCGAACCCTGGTCTACAGCCTCGCTTTTCATAAGAAATATTAAGAACACAAAAGTCATCCAGCCCAATACATCAGTTTTTATGGATTATTTTAAACCAACTCTTGTGCTTTTCCACCACATTCCTTTGTCTTTCATTACCCTCAGACAGAGACCCTTACTGACACTCCATATCAAGACACCTTCCCCAGTAGCCTATTCCAAAATCATCATCATTTAGGCAAAACAGTTCTGTCCAGACACCTCATTTACTCCCGCTTCCTGTGTTCTAGGTGACTTCCCGCTGGATTCTGAACCGTGGAGCATGAGAATGGTATCATACCAAACCTTATCAATTTATTTCAGAATGAGAAAGATAGCTCTGTTAAGATACCTCAAAGCCTCTTCTTTTTCACTCTTCTCTCTCCCCTTCTCTTGCAGGTTTTGTAGTTCTTGCTCCATTTCAATCTTTGCTTGCTGTAACAGCTTCACCTCTGAACTGTATGGATATTGGAAAATCTAAGCACTCAAGCAAATATACAAAATGTATATTTCTACAAGATACAGGAATCATTTACTATTTAAAAATTGATATCAATAAATACTATCTTTTTTGTTTAACACTGTAGTAATTACATATTTTAAATAAATACACATTTGACCTTTTAACAAACACTATGGCAATGGCTTTAAGATGAGAAAGGATCTCTTGAATGCTATGGGAAGAACTTACAGAAAAACTGAAAAAGGTTCAAAGATGAATAAAAGTAATGATGAAATATCATGAGTTTGAACATTTTTTTAGAAATATGAAGTTTCTATTTTTGAGGATCAAATCTGACTTTTGTTTATTGAGGCGTTTTACAAGTTATTACGACAAGTTAATTTTAAAAGACTGCTCTGGAAAAAAGCTTCTAATTCTCCAGGTTTATTTAAAATTGGGAAATCCTCTCACCATCTGGTGTAAAATATTTCACAAGTGCAGAGACTATGCTTATTAGCTGGACTTACTCTTTACTGGCCAGCAGACTTTGCAGTGTGCTCCTGTCACCTTTAAGTTGCTTTACCAGCCCTTGGAGTCGCTCACACTCTTCAAGGTAGTCAGGTTCCTGAGAAGCTGGTTGATCCAGCTGTACAGAAGCTGAAGGTGGCAGAGCAGACAATGGTGACATGCCATTTTCCAATGACAACAATGACATGTTCTCCAGCTCATTCACTTTCTAGAAATTCAGAAAAAACAACTGGATATGTGTTTTGCTCCTATAACACAGGGGAGATTTATCTGGTGCAATTTCAACAGAGCTATACCAGTTTACATCAGTTGAAGCTATGTCTCAAGCTAGGAGCAAGGAAGGAAAAGCAGGATCAAAAGGAGATTAATCTTAAAACTGTACCTACACAAATGAAATGCATTACAGCAAGAGAGAAAAAGTGCAGATGTTAACATGTATGAACCAGAGTGGGCCAAGCTGCTGCCTGGAAGGATAAGGCACTATAAGCACAGAAATCAGTGACCTTATATTTTCTGTTCTAGCAGTGATAAGATGGCCATATGGTGCCTGACACTCACTTTTTCCAGTTCTGAAATCCGTCTCACCAGCCTCTGTCTGCTCCACTCATTGTAATCTACAGAAGGGAACAAGGTTTTAAACAGGAAACTGGATTGGCGTGATAGAAATCCTTCAGAAAGAAAGGAAGCCCCTGTCCATCCAGAAGGCCCATCAAGTACAAGACTGAAAACCCGCCTTTGAAAGGCTGCCTTGAAAGACAGAAGGACCTTAAGATGTCTAGCATCTTACACAAAGCACTTCAGAATTCAGATGATACCATTCATATCAGTCCAATATATAAGTGAAAGATGGAAAACAAAGCTTTACTGTGGATGTTTTATTCCTCCAGACTCTTTGAATCAGAAAAGCACTAGCACATGGCTGGCAGACAAGACTCTGCCCTTAGGACCCTTTCCTCTCTCTGAATTAACAAAGGGATGTGACCCACAGCTGCCTGCTACAACTCAGTGATAGGGAGGGAGCTGGAGTGACTCTATGGAAGAAACCCACTTGACTGGGTCCACCACCAGCACAAGCCACAGCCCAGGTTCAAAAGAAATTCCTTTACAGCTTCAACCCATAGTGTCAAGCTCTGCCCACTCATTCCCTGATTCACAAGGCCAATGCAGGGGTGTTCCTCTGTCCCTTCACAGAACAGCAAGTACAAGAAGAAACCCACAAAGGAATGGGAAGAAGAACAAAGAAACTCCAAAGGGAGTTGGCAAAACATGTCCAAGATGAGAATGCAAGCAAGGTGAAAGAGAAAATTCACAACAAGGGGACAGGGTAGAAGAGAAGGGGAAACGGCCCAGGTAGGAATGCATGGGGCAGTCAGAACACAGGAAGGGAGATGACACATGCATTTGCTTTTTCAGAACTGAATTTAGTGAACTGTTTCTCAGTACAACAGTTATGTTGCTAGCTACAAAATGCATTCTTGCAGTTAGATGAGACTGCAAACTTTGCCTTTTGCCAGCAACTCCTAGTCAACAGACGCAAAATTAAAAGGTAATTCAACCCATAACAACATCACAATTAAGCTTTTGGGATAAAGGACTAATCATTGCCCATTTTCAAGAACACCTCTGCAGTGCCTCCAGCAGCTTTATCCACACTGCCATGCAGTCTTTCTGAACCCTGCTTTCTCCCATTTGTGTTGTACATATCAAAAGTCTAACTCCCTAGCCCCCAAGCTTTTTGGCACATACTTTTCCTTTTCCTGCAAGCAGGAGAGCTGCTCCGTGTTTGGCTTAGATCTGCTTTCAGGCTTCTATTCTCTTCCTGCAGCTCTGTGATGTTCTTAGTTAATCTGAGGACAGCAGCATTAAGCATTTTCAGCCGTTTCTGGGTCTCTTTGCCCTCTGGAGGGGACCTGTATTTGGAACAGGAGACAACAGCAGGGGTTCAGATCCAACACAGCACAATGAAGTAGAACCATAACTTGGACAATGCCCACATGCCCATAAACAAGTTGGAATTAACAAATAGAAGGGTGGATAAGAAACAAGAAACCAGTCATTACAAATAAAATACAGCAAGTGGCTGCATTTTCAGCCATGTTATTACAGCCTTCACAGCTACCTGAAGTTCTTTTCTCTTTGAAGGAAAACCCCAGACAAGTTTTTCTCTCTGCTTTAAAAGATGTAAATTTGCAAAGCACCTCTAAAATTGAACCAAACTTGGAGAATGCAGACGGTACTGGTAACTCCAGGAAACAGAAATAGAAGAGCCTATAATGTATTTAAAGCCTCCAAAATTAGATTGTATTGCTGCCATTTTGCCTTCTTTTTAATTGTTCTAATGGAAAGAGGGAAAAATTAATTTCAACTCTTCAGAGGTTGTAAAATTTGTTTGTCAGCACTCAATCACATGGAACAGCTGCTTTGCACTGGTATGGGCAAGACCCAACTGAACAGCAACCAGCCCAGGCAAACAGTGCTTAGAAGCAGTAAGGAACTCTCTACGGTCTTTATGCGATGCGTAACAGCAGAACTGTAAAATAACTTGTACAGAAACTACACATCCCAACTCAATGGCAGCTTACTAGAGAGAAGGGAAGAGTGTCTTTGCTGTGGGATACTCAGAATGAAAACCTAGGCCCCCTCTACCCCTGGAAACCTGTTAAGGAAAAACCAAAAACCAACCAAAAAAAATCAAAAACCAAACACAAAACCTAACCAAACCAAAAACTCCATCGCTATGGAGGGATATTTAAAGGATTGTCTCAGATAGAAAATAAGGAATGACAGGAATGGTTGCTCCCAAAATTAAATAAAACCAAGAGGCAGATCTGAAGAATGGGCCAGACTGAGGAGCTGGAGGCTTCCCAGCTTTGGACACTGAACCCTCTATTACTAGAGAGAGTTAATTTTTGAAGAAACAAAAACACAGCAAATAAAATGGCTTAGTCCTGCTAGGCCTGCAGCTCAAGGGTGGGCTGAAATATTCATTTTTATATTCCGCCCACATTGAAAATGCAGGAGCATTTTTAATTCAGAAAAGACAGGACTAACAGCACTAACCTGAGTCAGGACTAATGCTGACATGCATCATATAAGAAACTCTCTCACACAGCTCTTTCAGTACACTACAGCTCTGACCTTCAGCAGCATTTGCTGTTCCAGTCCTTGGCCTCTTGAGGAAAGACTGACAACTGTGCAATCAAGAGAGACTGCCCTGACCATTGTCTTTTGGAGCCAGAACAAATGAGTACAGGAAGAGACCTAATGATTAATTTTCACCTGTAACCTACATCAACTGTGATGGCTTTCAGCAGTAAAAGGCAAGTCTGTTGTTAACTCACTGAGTGCCAGACCCAGGAGAAATAAAAATATTTCTTTTTTTAACGAAAATATATTTCTAAAAGTAATAAACTATATTCCATTTTTAATTCATAACGGGGGAACAAAAGGAACATACAGAATGACCCCCAAAATAATTCTAGTAAATTTCCATTGGTTTATAAAATTATGCCAGGGATTCCAGTGATTTGTTGCATTTAAAGCACAGGCACATTGTGAGTGGGTGTGGTATCAGCTTTGAAAGTTAGTCTCTTACCATAGAAGAACTCTGCCACCACCTTCTGAGTGGCTGCACTAGTATTCTTGAGTTTGCCCTCTTACTGTAACTTTACTTATATGTTATTTGCTTTCATGATACATATTAAATTTAAATAGTCTTACACTGATACTCGGAAAACAACCTCAGGTGCCTTGAACTCCTTGTCTTCCTTTTACTAAAAACACCTATTGCAAACTTCTTTAAGGAAGTTTCCATCATGTTGTCCTACCTCTGAATCTGTATCTTCATTTCTATAATCTCCTGGGATACTATCTGGACAAATTTTAATTTGAATTTAGAGTTATATCTCTTCCTTGAAACACAGGTGCTTCCAGAACCTATTGCAACTCTACCTACCAGCTAAATTGGCTATCATGATTTTTTCTTCTATTTTTTTTTTAATAACAGGGATTAACCATTATTTATAATTGGTCAGGTGGAAGCAAGCACTATGTAAGCTTCCCTGGCAGAGCATGGTAACCTCAGTCATGACCTGTAACATTCCCCACCATCCTGTTACTATTATAACCCTGGTATTAGACTTCTAAAACTTGCAGTTGTAGCAAATTATGTCATAGCTACATGATGTGAAAAACATCTGAAAAAAATCTAAGCTGATGTGATGATACCCATTTTGCCTATGTCTTCAATTTGACTCCAGGCCAAGTGAAAGATAAATAGTACATTTATTCATTAACCCACTCTATCACAAAGAGTGCATCTTCGCAGCAACTGAAAGCACATGATTCTTTGGTTACCGTGGGCAAGGCAGTTAGGGTCTTGCTAAATAACAAAACTGATTGTGCTCTGCTCCTCCTTCTGCATTGCAATGAAGCTACTGGATGCTGTCTACTGGAAAGGGTCAGAGCAAATCTGATTGTGCCCTTGATTCTATTAAGTCAGGACTTCTGAAAATTGAAGAAAGGAGGCCTCTGTTTGACAACCTCTGGATTGAAGGACTGAAGAAGACACTGATCCCACCTCTCTTCAATGGTGGGCTGTGACTTCCTCATGACGTATCTTACTACCAAGTCTTATACTTAAACTCTCTACAAAACTGGTTTCTAAAAGGCCCAATCCTTTTCCCATTGAAGATGTAAGTTTTTATCACAATCCCTACTGGACCTATTATTTCTTTCTTTCCTTTTCTCCAAGTATTAATTCTGTCTGTTCTGCTAATTCTTAGTTCAGTGGACAGGTTTACTATGCTGGTATTTAGATTTACTGTAATTACTGAGCTCCAGTTTGGATCTGGATTTGAGATTTCCCTAAATGCATAGCACTAGAGTTTTGATCCAAGCCAATGCCTAGGCATAACGCCATAGCATTTATTGTGAGTTATTCTCCAAATGCTCATATGGGAAATGGGGCTTCATATAGATATTTTTTTTTTTACTTGCCATATTGATTTTTTTAAACCTCAGCTATGAAATTTTCCCCATCATACACCCATCTTCACCTCTCTTCATCAGGGTCAAGATTAGTACGCTGGCCCATGAGACACCTTTCTATTCTACTACCACAACATCTCTCAGGTGCTACCATTATTCAGCCTTAGGTACACAGTCAACCAATGGATTAATTTTCATTCAAAAGCACTTTCCTTTAGAAAGAGAATAATGGCCTCAGCTATGAATAATACCAAGTATCTAACAATTTCATGATAAGTAACATTGGTATCAGAATGGGGACCACCTGCAGATGCTACCGGCCACATCGACGGTGAGGTGGGGCAGGTGCGAGCGGCAAACACCTGCAGAAGCCAGTGGCAGTGGCCAATCTCAGTGCATCGCCTATGCACTCAAACTGGGAGAATTTTCCCAGGTTTGTTCTCCTTATAGAGAAGCTTACCTAGAGCCACAAGTACAGACATGTAAATGCTGAGGCTCTGAAGAGGGAAGAGCTTGCAGTGCTGACACTGTGCAACCAAGGAGGGGCCCTGTGCACACATCTCCATATGCTCTGCGGACTCCCTTAATCTGCCTGGCAACGGATGGCAGCAGTGCTTGGCTAACCCAGACTGCCCATGGTCATCCTGTATTGTCAACTTGTACAGACATTTGCTCTCCCAGGAGAAACTCTCCTGGAAGTGATTGAACATGGGTTCTTCCTAGGTTATTTTTCTCCTGAAGCAGCCATCTTTACTCTGGGATAAAAAGCCTTGACTTCTGGACACTCATGGCTTCTAGGAGAGCAATGACTTGAATGTCTGTATGAGGCCCCAGTATCTTTATGAAGAGATGTTAAGACAACAGAATGCTTTCTTCAGACTAAAGCAATACATTTTAATGTACAGAGAGACAATGTTAGAAGTAACTGAAAACACAATGTGCTAAATCAGAGCAATCAGAAACACAGCAATTAATTCTTAACACTTCTCCCCATAGAAGAAAAACCTTTCTTCTTCCCCCACAGTTCAACTTCTTCGCCACTTACCACCCCGCTCCCCCTGCTGCTGCTAGCAGCTGCAGGTGGTCCCCGCTCGCCGGCAATGACACCGCAGGTGCTCCCTGCTCACCGCCACAATGCCCCCATTGCGTGAGGCACCAGTCATTCACGTTTGAGCGTGCAGACACAGCCTGGGGGTTTCTGATTTTAGAATGAGAATTTAAAACTCTGAGGTAGATGGCTTTGATTTTGCTTATTAACAGCCCATAATACACAGAGTGGAAATAACATGATAAGCATGCTGTGAAATCAATGAAGACCACAGGGGAAAACAACTCCAGAAACAGTGAGATACAGCATTTTACATATAGTTGTTTGCCATCAGGCAGTAAGTGCACAAATTATGTACCAAACCCATATGCACGTACATGTGCCCAAAAGAAAAACACATACTTTTTCCGCACAGCCTCTGATTTTGCAAGGAGGGTTTGGAGACGATGAATCTGTAAAGTAGGGAAAATAGATTTCATTAATAGAAACATACACTTGGCATAGAAAGGATTTAGATGTACGGAAGCTCATGCTGCTAATGTAGTAAGCAGCATCTGGTAGGTCAAAATGAGAGCAAAATCCTTGGGTAATAGCACAGATAATGAAGCCTGGCAGAAAACAAGTGTAAGATCCTGTTAGTATTAATCCATGTGCTCATGGCTGTATATTCATTTCATTATTTGTCTTGTTTAATTAGAACTGAATTTTTTCCTTTTCAGAAAGGCTTTCACAAGCAAGCCTGTTACAAGTTTTTTTCAAATGTGATGTTCGCATACTGACAGGTGCTGGGAAATGCTAGGAAACCAATCTAAAATTGCTCAAGGTTTCTACCAAGAGTCTACAATGGAATTTCTCTTCTCCTATACAACAACCACAACCTTGCCCAACGTACCTCCTCATAGTAAGTCTCCATAGCAATCCTCATCTCTTCCAAATTCGTAGTCTTCACATCTGTCTGTAATTTGCTGAAAAATGAGGAATATAGCAGTAAAAACTGCAACCCTGGCAATGTACAGAGTTTACTAATCATTTCTGGGATGGGTGTAAAAAGTTTAATAGTGGTTATAGTTGAATTCATCTTCTTCAAGGAATAGAATTCAGTTCAAATGGGAGAAAGTTAGCGAAGGGATTGTAAAGCCTAAGTCAAATAATTCCCTTGCCCCTCAAAAGCCATACTTGATAGTGTTATCTTTCTCCTTGCACTGCTGTTCCAGCTTGAGAATCTTCTGTTTTAATCCACTGATTATCTAGGCAAAAGAAAAAAAAAAAAACATATCTGATCAATCCTAGAAGAATGCCACTGTCAGAATTTTAATTTCCCCATAATCCCATCTGCTCTTTATAAATTTTATGTAGCCATAAATACTCAGTAGTACATGAATCATGACAAAACAAACTGCAAGCAAGAGTGCTATCCTTCAAGAAAGACAGAACTAAACAAATCAGATGCCTAATTAGTGTGTTAATTGCAACTAAATTAAGAGTACGGTAAAAGCTGTGTTAACTGACATTTAAGTAACCAAAACACTCTATTAACCAGAATTTCTGGCTGGCTGGCTGGACGCAAGGGTGGGGGTGGGGGAAAGCTTGCACACAGCGGGGAAAGCTCGCTGCCGCCACCACCCACCACGCTGCGCTGCCACCACTCTCCACACCCCCACCCCTACCCCCCTGCTCTGCATCAGACCAAAAACCCCCTGCCCTCAGGTACCTGGAATTTTTATATAACCGGCATCCCCCTTACACCACTGATGCCAGATAACAAAGCTTTTACTGCATTTACAAACACTCTTCATAGAGAAACATGAAATCACTAAATAAAAACATAACCTCTTAAAATCCTATCCCTTCACTTTTATGGGTCATGGGAAAGAAACGGAGGACATAAATATACATTTACCTTGCTAAAATTAGGGCTGTAATAACAGGAAAAATACTGATGCAAACACATTCACCTAGAGAAAAAGGAAGGGTTTCTTAAGCTACTGTGAATCTTGGGCCTTTGTTATGATTCTTATATCTGACAATAACAATGACAGCAGTAACCTAGATTCCTAATTAAGCTGCATTCTCTCTTCCTATCTTTTTATGTTTTTTTCTATCTGTAAGAGTTCGTTTTGAAAGGAGAAAGGTTGAAGCTGAAGGTGGTGAAGCAATTACCCATCCAGTATCATTCTTCTCTGCCTGAGTCCGGACAAAGTCAGAGCCCTACATGAGAAGATAGACAAATCAACGTGCTGCTTTGTTATATTCTTCCTCCTTTCTGCAGATTTTTGTCTCAGCTTCCTGGTCAGGAACACTCTCTCACATATCTCCAAGAAGTTTCTATGCCACCCATAGTAACTAAAGGCTTCTTGCTTATCCAGGCTCACCAGTCTTACAATACAGCATTCCTATTTGCTCTATAGCTGAGGGATTAGGACCACATCTGTCAGCTACTGCAGATGCACCTTGGCTCCCTCCCACCTTCAGGGATATTGTGCATTAAGTGCGTTTCCTGAGGGAAAGCTTAGCTTTAACATCCAAAATGGCAATCCTCTTCTCCTGAATAAACCCATCTACAAAACGACATGCATAAGTTGTCCTGAAACTGAACTTTTCTTTTCCAGGTCACAGTTGGGTAGGAATGATGAGCTCAAATGCATAGAACAGAAATGATCTAGTATCAACCGTCTCTTTCAAACCTAAGATCACCCCCTTCTTGCCATGGAGATACTTCAAGTAGAAAAACAAAGGGGACAGCCACCTCCCTGCCAAAGGATTGCAGCACTCACCAAAAGCTGCTCAATCTGTCGATCCTTTCTGCTATTCTCCTCCTCCAGTCGTCGGAGCTTTGTTTTCAGCCGATCCCCTTCACCTTTCTTAGCCTGGATTGTCTAATATGGAACAAGCAAGCAAACAAACAAATAAAAAAAAGTCTAAAGTTCCTCCTTAAATTCTGCCCAAGACCTGCAGACAGGCAAAAGTCAGAGGCACAATGAGCTTTTGTTAAACCCACAAGTCACTCCTAGACACAAGTGAGGATCACCAAACTTAATGACAAGAAAGAAGCAAGAAAGGGACCACTGAATTAGATTAGGATCAAGTAAGAGGGGAAATTGCAGGGTTAGGAAAGGATTAAAGAGAACAGAACTTAACAGCAGGGCAATTGTACACAAGTTTTCTGAGTTATGGTATTTCTTTACTGATATTTTCTCTAACCAGGTACCTTTTTTTAGCTTTGTCCAGGAGTCAAAACCAACCCCACATAATCTTTCATGTTCCAACAGATTAACTGACTGACTTAATAAAACCAGGATGGGGACAGCTATGGGAGTACAAGTTGCAAAGGAAGCAAATTTAAATAAACCTTTTCAGTGGTCAGCTCAGCATTTGTTCAAGGCTCATTCTGATGTGGAAATATCTTGTATACTTTGAGATCTCAAGACCAATGATATTTCCTTGAACAAGCAGGGTTTAATTTTCACCCTAACATCACTTAAGTGGAGAACCTTAGTGGCTCTTCCAGGTACAGGCAACGGATCCTTTTGACCTGGTACCAAGACAGAGATGAAAGAGGGTATAGAACTTTTACTACACAAGTAGCAGATGGACACACCTTCTTCAGTTCAATAATCTCATCATACATATCTTCCTTCTCTTTGTAGTCAGGAGTTCCAGGGATGTAGCCTACAGAAAGAGACATGCAAGATTAGGAAAACCCTTGACACAAGAAGATCTGAAAGAGATGCAGTCTTAAAGGTAACAAATAACAGTTGAAAAGCATCAGCCTGAAATCCAGTCAATTTCAGAACCAATGCTACAAGTTTCAGATGCCAGTTTTTGTGGAAATTTTTCCTTTAAAAAATATTTCTCCTCCTCCCATAGCTATCTGAAAGGTTCACACAAAAGCAAGAAAATTAACCAGTCACTTGTAAAGTGCTCTCAAAGTCCACAAAATGTAACAGAAGACAAAGAAAGGAAAAAGCACTTCTCCAGTCTCTTTGAGTTATAGCAATGCTGGGTGTTACGTGTAATAAGCAGGTGCAAAAATGTCAGAGGGAAGTGCAATGTTTGTTTGCAATTTACTTCTAAGGAATACAAAGTAGGCGTGTGTCTGAATTTTGTTTCTCATAAAGCCCAATTGATTTTTACATAGCAAGTGTATCACACAAAACACTTTATAGACAGAAGTAACAATGAAAGTCAATGCTTCATGTAGAGTTTCAGGCAGGCAGACACATTATCTGATTTAGCAGCTAGGAATAGGGAGAGCTAGCATCATGTGACCAGCCAGCTCTCAGCCAGTGCTCTGCAAAGCACATCTTGATTTGCTTTGATTTTTCCTTTAAGCTGGAATTGCAGTAACCAATGCTATTACTACAGCAAGATCCCTAAACAAACCAGAGTTCGCTCTGTTATACAGTTACTGTGCTCACCATTGCTAGAAGAACGTGAGTGTTTGGGCTTCTTCATGCCTAAAGCTTCCTTCAGATACTCTGGAGTGCTACTGGAGAGCTTATTCCGAATGTGCCCCATCTCAACGTCTGACTTCAGAGCTTGGTTCATACCTGTTAGTAATAAAGGGGTAGCGGAGATGGGGTGGGAAACAGAGATAACCATACATTAAACTAACTCTGAATAAATGCAACAAAAGGCTCAGGTTGCTTCTAATAACCTCTAACAGAAATGAGTAAACCAAAAATGTAAACTTTCAATAATTAGATAACTCAAATTCACTTCTACCCAAGCACAGAAGAATAAGGTTTTTTTAACCAGGCATTACCCAAAGATAAATATTTGTTTCCCCAGAGTCTGAAGGTTAAACAATATTCAACAATGAACAGAAATTTCTGCAAATATTGAGTATTCAAAAAAGGGTCTGAAGCAAATATTTAAATATAAAATATACCCATGGGCTAAATGCAGCCCAGGGATAAGCAGGCTTAACTTTGATTGGATTCAACAGCAGGTGTACCCTTTTGCACCAGAGCTGTGATAGTGTACATTGAAAAGTATAGTTTATAGATATGGAAGGAATTCCTATACTACCTTGTTGCAGAGATCCTAGCCAAATCTGTCTCGATGTCGTAGCTGCTGGGCTCTCAAAAAATATGTTTCCTGTTCCTTTCAATGATCTCCCAAGTGCAGGCTTTTTAGAGTATAGGCATGTGCTGGAACTGTATGGAGACTCTAAAGCAGAAAATACTTGAATGTTGCAAAACATCCTGCCCTTCCTTTAACAAGTATATCAGCACTTTCTCTTTTTGAAATGATATCTGTTGCTTCAAGAATCCCAGATACATTAAGTCCCAATATAAACCTAATTATCACAAAATCTTTATAACACCCAAAATCCTTTGCTTGTAGATACAAGAAATAAAATCCATCTCTAAGACATGGTGCCTAAACAGGTATGTACATTCAAACATTAAAATGGTTTATTAATGAAAGTACAGATGGCCAGCAAGAAGGATATTGCAAGGCTCAACAGAAGAGAACCTTTCTACATAGGCAAGTCAGCCACAACTTTTGTGATGTCAATAAAGGCACAGTCAGAGGTGATGCCACAAAGACAACAGGTCATATAAAAACTGCTGTTTGTAAATTGTTTATGCCATCATAGGCACTTTAGGAGAGATGAAAAGAGCAGGCATGTGCATTTGCATGAAAAGAAAGAGATGAAAAGAGCATGCATGTGCATTTCCATGAAAAGAAAGGATGTACTTGCTCTACACCTAGCAAGGTAAAGCAAGAAAGTTACTGTTAGAGATATTAGATCAGACTTATAAAAAAGGCTCAGCATTAAGTATGTATGAAGTCCTTTGAACATCTTATTGAAATCCCAGGAGGGGAAGATAAAGCAAGAGTTTACTCAGTTCACTGAGAATGGAACTCATAAACAAAAATAAAAAGTGGAAGTGGAATCAGCAGCTTATAGACATGAAAGATCTCCCAATTGTAAGGGGTAATTTGCTTAAGGATAGAAGCATAATACAGAATGGGCCACGTTAAAAATGGAATGACAGTGCTTTAAGCATTCCAAAAACCTCTATGGTATAGAAACACTGTAAACCCCTAGATGTCTTAGATGATTGTATGCACTGCTTTAGTACTAGACCCCAAGACTTTGGATTACATCTGCAAGGGAAAAAACACCTCTCCAAGAAAATCAAAAGCAAACAGCAATTTAAATTTGCAAACTGTCTGCTACCACAAAGGAAAAGGGCTGAAGAAGGACTGTTCATCAATTTGTTCCTAGGACATGGATGTAAAGAAAACTATAAACTTCAATCTTAGTATTAGAAAAGTCAAACTTCTCCCTGTTATGGAACACAGCTCACAGACAGGAAGGCTTCATATCAGTGAGTAATACCACCGAAAATCACAGGTGTTTGTTATCCAACGAACATAGATGCCAAATCACATTCTATATAATGATTATATATAGAAGAACTTGATTACACTCACTTGGTGACTTTGGAGGTTTGTGAGAAATGTTTTTTTTCAATTTCTGAAAGAAAAACAAAAAAGGCGTATTTAAATGTTCACAGTCCTCAACAACTCAACACCAACTTTAAAACGGAGATAGAAGCCCTTTTAATGGGGATCCAGAAGTTGTCTAATGGAACAATATTAACTCTTTTGAGTAGAGAACCAGGACTATAGGGCACAAAAACACATACAGCTAGAAATTCCCTTCAGCCACCCCAAATGATCTAGTTTTACTGAAGTCCAAATACCATTATAGCACCTACACCAAGCTGTAGTAAGTGAAACAAAGTGATCACATCCCGAAACAGTGACCCACCAAAATTAAATGGCTGCCCCAGAATAGTATATGCAACAAAACCAAAGCTGTTTTGCTGTGTTACATTTTAAGGCATGATTAACCAATTAAGCAATGCTTTCAGTGGCCATCTGGCCAAATGTTCAATCAATAAATGGCATAATAAAAGAGGAAGAAATTACAAAATATGTGTAATAACTTTGTAGCTGCTTTCCATCATGCTGTTAATTGAATGCGTGGCTAGGAGCCCCTGTGGCTGACTGGATCTCCCAACTGGGAGGGGTCCATGTGCATCCCCCAGCCTGGGAGCTCCTAGGTGATAGGGTGGGGTGGGCAAAATGCGGCCCTGGGGCTGGATACAGCTTGCCAGGCCATTCTATCTGGCCTGTGGGGCCCCTAAAAAAATGAGAAAAATTATATTTATCTGCCCTGGGCTGCCTGCCATGTGGCCCTTGATGGGTTGCTGAAACTCAGTAAGCGGCCCTCTGTCCAAAATAACTGCCCGACCCTGTGATAGGTTTTCAGGCACAAGGGTCCACCAGCTGCCAGAGCTTGCTTCTTGCCAGTGCAGGAAAGGGAATTTACTTGTTCAATTACATGAGAATATTCTTGACGCACTACTTAAGCCTCACACCTGGATGGTACTGAGAAATGGATTTTACAAACCATCTCTGACCAAGTATAAGAATTGTGAAAGCCAAGATAATGTTCAGTGACTAGGGCCTCCATGTCAAAAACAATCTTTGCTGAGTTGGTACAATATAGTTAGTTCTGCTTGTAATAAATCTTTTAGTAATCAAGCACTGTAACAAGGATGTGTTGTGTGCAAGGGGACCGGTAACCGAAAAGATCTTTTTTATGCATCCACAAAAGACATATTGTTAAAAAAGAAAAAAAAACAAAACTTACCATCTCTACGTCTGATTCACAAGTTGCTGCAGACAGACTGTCCTCTATCTGAGAGGGTAGATATGTGCAACATAATATTTACCGCTCACTAGCCATTTGGCTAATATATACATTCACAGAATTTAAATATATATCCCACTAATCTTGGCTGAAATAGTCACTACAGCAAATTCAGCTGGACATTCTCCCAATCTTACTTTGCAAGGAGACATTGTAATTAGGATTAATTCCCTAAAGAGGAATCTGTGCAAGATCTTTCCCTAAGAATTTGAAAACCTGGTTGCAACAAAGCCATTCATTCTCAACACAAGACAGGATTAATAGGTGCAAAACAAAAAAGGCAAAACAGGTTGCTGGATTCCATCAAAGGCAGTAACGTAACAATAACTTATAAAGTAAGCTATAAACGCCAAGAGACTCTCTAAAGTTTTCCTGATGAGAAATCTTATTTCTCATTAAAGAACACTCGCATGTTTATTTTGTAAGCACAATTATGCTCCCCTTGATACCTACTCACTGGTGGGTTGGGCGCAGAAGCCAACTGCATATCTGAATGCCCCCATCTCAGTAACTTTAGTTTTAGAAAAGGGCATGATATACCTTAAAGCCTGTCAAACAATTCTACAGTAACTAAGCAACTAAATTAAAGTGCTCATCAATATGCAATATGTGATATTCAAGATGTGATATTAAGAAAAGGTTAGCACAGCATTAACTAAACCCCACCCACTTAAGAGGCTTTCTGGAGAGTCATCCTGAGTCTCTTGTGGTCCAGGATGACAACACTATAGTGGGGGCTACTGAGTCAGGCAGGGTGAGTACACTGTACTGATGACTGTATATGACTCTGGAGAATACTGGGTGCCTACTTAAGTTTGTATTTATACTTTAGCACTTAGGACGCTTCACATATTCAACTTCTGTATAAGCAAACCTCAGAAGAACTGTGAGGGGCAGATATTGTCCTTGTCCCCGGAGAACACCCCTGCACGTTTGCTCTGGCGTGCAGCAAGTTGTGCTGGGTGGGGTAGAGGAAGCTGCAGCCAGGACCTGGGCTGGCTCCAGCAGCCTTACCTGGGGTCTTGGGGGCCTCCCGGGGTTGCAGTGGCAGCGACCTGGGTGTACAGAGCCTGGCCAGAAGCTAGAGCATGGCTGTGACTAGCCAGGCTCTGGTTTCAGGTGGTACGTGCTGCCACTATGTGCACCATCCCACTTTTTTCTGGAGGTTTTTTTTAATTTGACACCAGGAGATACCAGTGTCAAAAAAAATCCACGCCACACTGCAAACTGGCAGCATGGCAAACATGCATATGCAGCACATGCAGTTTGCAGTGCCACAGACAGGTTTGCGGCACTGCAAACCGTATTCATGTGCTTGTGGGAATGTGCCCAAAGAAGCAGAAACAAAGAGTTTACGTGATCTGAGACCCAAATTACTCAGTGAGTCAGGAGAAGAGCCAGCATTAGAAGACAGAGAGGAAGGATGGTGCCAGGCATTAGTTAGCCCACTAGTCTGACACCTGAGGAAACCTGGGTTTAACTACCTGCTCTGCCACCGATTCCCCGTAAGTCCTTGGACATATTGCTTAGAGCTAGCTCCACAAAAGGACTTAGATGTTGCAATGCTCAGCAATGGAAATACTTATGTTCTAGGTGCTGGACCCCCAGAGCGGAGGCTACAGCTCTGCATAAGATGCCTAAACTCCCTATTCAGTGCATATAGAGTTAATCATCTGAAGGAGATTCACAGCAACCAAAATGCTGGGCAGAGAACCACCTACTCAATGCAGAAGCAAGGATGGGGGTCCTAAATCCTATCAGTTGCCTGAGGGGGTACAACTGAGATAGTAGCTCTGGACCCTGCCTGGGGAGGAGGCACAAAGATAGCTGCCCCATGCACAGCTGCCTTCCTGTTACCTCTCTGAATCCTGCTCCTTTCTGGGACTTAGAAACCTAACCCCACACATCAGAGAAGGGTCTGTGTCAGGTCAGGTTTCACAGCCTAGAGCACTCTCCTAAAATTAAGCCCCCAAGTCATCCCTCTCAAGAAGAAGCAGTAACTGTTTTCTCTTAAAACAACCTCATCATCACTGGGTTTGTTGCCACCCACCTTTTCTCTGATAGCTCAGTGACTCAAAGCACTCAGCCAGGATGCAAGGGATATTGGATAGTGTGTGGCAAGAGCATCCTCCGCCCTTGTTGTGCAACTGTGTATAGAATTATTTGTGGCTGAAGGAGCAGGATTCCAGCACCAAGTGATATATTTTATCCAATTAATGTTTAATATAAATAGTATTCCCTGCAGAAAGAGCTGAACCCCTGGTTTCCATTCTCTGAGTTGAGGTTTTAATCACTTCCCTACCTCACAGGGAGAAGAAACAACAAATATATTTAAGACTGCCAGGCATTTATTTGGATGCTGTGGAGATCAGGGCCATGTATTCACTTAAGACCAATATATTTCTACTTCTCTGCCCCACATCCATCCCTGTAGATCAGTGATTCTCAGGGTGCCTGGAGATACTTTCAAGGATGCCTTGGGGTGCCACGCAACATTAGCACTGTGAGGTGCGTAAACATGATTCACAAGATAAACCCACAGATGTCAAACAGGAATCCAGCATATTAAAAACCGTTCTGACCTCTTGTGGTCTTCTCGAGTTCTTTGCAACAGAAAACTGACTCCTCAATTTACTTCGTCACTGACTGCCTTTCTTGCATACCAGCCTCTGGCTTCTTTACTATTCATCCCATCCAGGAAGTGCGCACACCAACTACAGATGCTTCCTCTGCCTGACAAAGGGTATTTATACCCAAAAGCTTGCTATGAAGAATTTTTCCAACTATTTCAGTTGGTCTGATAAAAGATATCAGATTTACCCAAAGAACCTTGTTTGCAACAGAAAAAGCACTCTAGTACTTTTCCAGAGTTAAAAAAAATGAGTGAAAAATGAAGAGCTGGTGATGTAAGAGTGATTTTGTGGTTATGAGTGTCCAGAAATTATGAGAGGCAAGAATTTCTTGGGGTGATAAAAGATAACCGATTAAACGTGTCACCCTAAGAAATGCTTGTCTCTTGCAAACTAAGTATTGTTATGCCTCTTTATAAATCTATGGTGCACCTACACCTTGAATACTGTGCCCACTTCTGGTTTTCACATCTAAAAATTATATATCAGAGCTAGAGGTCCACAGAAGGGCAACAAGGACGATTAGTGGTACGGAGGGGCATCTGTGCGAGGAGAGACTAAAGGGGCTAGACCTATTCAGTTTAGAAAAGAGAAACTTGAGTGTGGGAGGGGGGGCATGATAAGGATTTACAAAATACTAAATGGTGAAGAGAAACTCAACAGGGATTTATTATTTACTCTCTCACACATAATACAAGAACTAGGGGTCACAAAATGAAGCTAGTGGGTAGTAAGTCTAAAACTAAGCCAAACTTTCACACAGCGTGCCATTAATGGGTGGCACTCAGTTGCCACCAGATGTTCAAGAAGGGATCGGACAGCTTGGAGGAAAGGGGCATCAGTTGCTATTGAATATGGGAGTTAGAGGCACAGCCTCTGAACCAGAACCTCCTAAACCTTCAGCCCTGGAGGCTGCAAGTGAAAGAGGGACTCAGTCAGACCCGGTTCACCCTCCACTTCAGCACCCGCTCTCTGCCCGGGTGTGACAGGAGATGGGGGCAAGACAGACTGGCCCAGTCGATGACAGCTCGTACGCTCTGATGCTACGTTAAGACCTTAGGTATCCCGGCTGTAGCCGTATTGGTCTAGAGAAAAGAGCAATCAGGGCCTGTGGACAGAGGCGATATCTTTTATTAGACCAACAAGATGTTTGTAAAAAGAAAAAATTCTTTAAACTGCAACCTTTCAGGCACATTTTTTTTTTTAAAGCTTGGCATTAAAGGAATTTTTTTTGCAAAAATCTTGTTGGGCTAATAAAAGAGATCACCTCTGTCCACAAGCCCCAATAGCCATATTGGTCTAGAGAAAAAAGCAATCAGGGCTTGTGGACAGAGATGATCTCTTTTATTAGATTTTTTTGCCAAAAAAAGTCTTTAACTGCAAGCTTTTAATACAGCTCATAGACAGAGATGATCTCTTTTATTGGACCAACACGATTTTTGCAAAGAAATGTCTTCAATTCCAAGCTTTCTTTTTCTTTTTTTTTTAATTGTTGTGCCCGAAAGGTTGCAATTAAAGTGGGTTTTTTGTTTGTTTTTTTAAAACAAAAATCATGCTGGCCTAATAAAAGAGATCACCTGTGACCACGAGCTTGCAATTAAAGACATTTTTTGGCAAAAAAATCTACTAAACGAGATCCCCTCTATCACGAGTCCTGGGTGCTTTTTCCTCCAGCCCAACCCGGGCGGCTGACACGTGTGAGGAGCCGGGGTCTCCAGTGCGGGCCGGGCCAGGGCCATGTCCACACAGCGGCAGCCCCCCCGGGGCGCTTCCTCCCCCGCTTCATCCCTGCTGCACCCAGACACGAAAGCCTGGCCGCTTACACCCCTCTGCCCCACCCCCGTCACCTGCCCCCGGCCCCACCGCTCACCTGGCCCCCGCCCGCCGCCTCGGACATGGCGGTGCCCTCGCACGGCACTTCCGGGTCGCCGTCTCTATGGCAACGGTTAGGCCTCAGCGCCCAGGCCAAGCGTGGCGGCGCCCGGCGTAAGGACTGGCGGGGACGATCGTGCGCTTGCCCGGAGTTGCAGTGCACACATAGAGCCATAGGGCATGGCTGCACGGAGGGTTTCCCCTGGCTCCAGAGCTACTCACTGGTCTTTGCTGGGAGTGGGGGTCAAGAGCAGCTGGTTTTGCCAGCCCCCCAGCTCCAGGAGTCAGGGGATTGGAGGAGATGCTGGGCCTGGTTTTGGTGCGATTTCAAACACCCGCTGTCATGAGGCAACCCAAAGGTGTGAGCGAGTGGTTCCCAACGTCTCCTCAGGAGGACTCTGTTTATGGCCCCATTTCCTCAGCATGGCCCCATCCGCTGGCGTTGGATGGGGACAGAAGCAACCCACAGTTTGGGAACCGCTGCCTTAAGGGTTCAAAGCCAGAAGGCAGAGAGAGCCCCCCTTGTACTATCATTTAAATGATGTTACAATATCCCCAGTTTGGGATTTTCCCAGGGCTTCAGGCTTGCCCCATTCCCAGAACAAACCCCTTTGCACGCCCCTGCCTCCGCTCTGGAGTTGTTAAACCAGGACCCTTGCACGCTCACACTGAAACACAAAGTTCCTCCTGCGCCGAGATGGTTTCAGCTGCTTCCTTGGAGGGGCCCGTACAGGTTTGTGGTGTGATTTCTTGTGAGTTTGATTAAATAAAGTATAGAAAAGAAAACCTAGTAAACGAGTAACAGTGATAATACTTTGCATTTATCTATTGTCCATTTTTCCTGAAGCTTTCCTAAAGGAACTAACAGAAAGATATGCACCATACACAAAGATCTTTCTGCCTCCTGCTGAAATGTAGTCCCTTCTTGGTTGAAACATGGGAGGTGCATAACAGAATTAAAGTATTAAGATTTAAAATCTATATTTCCATAGGAATATACCCCCATATACCTTTAATTTGTCTTTAGCCAAGTGTGGGAGCTATTATGAGACAAGGGCAATGAAAAAAGCTGCAAGAAAGCTAACTGTACTGCACGCTTAAACATCACTTTCAATAACCTGGATTTCCAAATCCCACGTTTCTGGTGTAGATAATTTATAATCAGAGCAGGAAAATAACCTCAGGCTTCTGTGGGAGAGAGTTCTCTCTCATAACAGGCAATAGCTAAGAGGCATGATGCATAGTTATGTGAGACGCGCTCATGTTAGGGCTCTGACTATATTCAAATAAGAACAAAATGAAAACCAACCAAGTCTAAACCCAGTAGGAATAAGAGTAACATTTATTATTGCAAGGAGGGACATGGAAGAGGCAGCCTTGCTCATGAATGCGAAGCAATAGTGCCATCATGTGGATCCTCCAAAGGTTCTCTGGGTCTGGCTGTCCGAAGGGAGACATAGTTAGCCGTGCCAGTCTGAAGTTAGGTTAGGCACATCATTAAGGATCTCCAGTCCTTCCTGCAAAAGGATGATGTCTCAAAGTAGTTGTGGGGGACAAACCAGCCTTGGCTTAGACAGCCTCCCAACCTCAAGTGCCATGTCTCAAACAAAAGGCTATCCAGCTCCTAGTCTCACCGAGGCACCAGGCCTTGCAACGGACCCAGATGCCTCCTGTGCCCCAACATCAATCCAGACCACATCCTCATCACTGACCAAAAAAATACAGATTTTGATATCTGAGGTTCATTCACTTGCAACTCCACCAAGGTCATATGCACGCTCACCTCCCTACAGTGCTCCTCTGCCATCTCCATTGGACAGACTGGACGATCCCGACATTGCAGAACGAATGACCACCACCCTGAGACTGGCTGCAGAAAGACATGCCAGCCTGGGGCAGAACAGTGTAACCTCCCCAAGCACACCATCGCAGACCAGAGGGGGGCTGATCTCAGATAGCAAACTTCTGAAAACAGAATGGGAAATTGCAGAGCAAGAAATCATCCACAAACTGAACATCGGGATGAGAACTAAGAGACTGTGTTAGGGAAAGGGCTGTGGACAGATGTGTGGGAGGAGCGTGGGTGTGTCTATTGTAATGGGTGTGCGGGTTTGAAATGTGGTTCAAGGTGTGTGAAGGAAAGCGCTGTATATATAGAACTATATATAAAACTATATACACACACACATATATATTTAAAAAACAAACAAACCTGGACTGTGTTAAGTATGGTTGAAATAGAGACTATGGATTCTACATGGGTGATTTGGTGACCCCAGGGTTCCTATGGGTTTAACATTTTGTTTGCTTGTCTCTCCCAGCACTGACCCCCTCTTCTCTCCTCTCCTGCTCTCTCCCCTGCTTCTCCCTTGGTCTTTTTTACTCTAATTTCTCTCCTATACTCTGCTTTCTGCAGCCCTTTCAGGGCATCTGATTAAGTAAGCCATAGCTCACGAAAACGTGTGCTATCGATATATGTGTGGATAATAAAAGGTATCTTCCATGCGTCAGGTATCCAGGTTGTAGTCATATTGGTCTAGAGGAAAAGGCAATCAGGACTCTTGATGATGATGTCTTCTATTCAACCAGCAAGATTTCTGCAAATTAAAGACATTTTTTTGCAAAAATCTTGTTGACCTGATAAAAGGTATCATCTCTACTACGAGTCCTGATTGCCTTTTTAAATAAAAGATATCACATCTACCCAAAGAAGTGCGTGCATGTACACGTCTCATGGACCCGGAGGGACAGATTTCCAGCTCCCTCTGTGCAAAGATGATGTTTATTTCCTACACACGGGGACTTTTCACCATTTTTAACTTCCCCTGAACTTAATGAAGGGCATGTAAGCCTGAAGGCTTGCAGAAAAAGATAAATATTGTTGGTTTGCAATTTCTCAGCAGGTCTAATAAAAGGTATTATCTCCGAACCACAAGTTCTGCATTACTTAAAATCCCATCTACCCAAAAAAGGCAGATGTGATAAATATAAATTAAAAATAAAAAAATCCCATCTACACACACACACACATATATATATATCTTGTGCCCTGTGTGGGGAGCAGCAGAACAGGCCAAGAGCCACAGACCGGGCAGCAACCCGGGCGGGGGAAGGAGACAAGTGCCTCGCTCCGCTCTGCCGCAGCTAGTTCAGCGACGCGTTACGACAGTTTTACGACAGTGGGCGGTAGGCGCGCTTTTCGGCCGCAGGGCGGAAGTCGGTGGGCTCCGGCGCCGGGCGTCTCCCTGGTGACGACCTGGCGCGCGCTGCTTCCCGGGGCCGGGCCGCCGTCACCTTTATCGCGCGCTCTGGGTCGCCTGTAGTATCCGCTGGTCCCCGGCGCAAAGCAGGGCCCCAGCCACCAAGAAGTTCAAGGAGGAGGGGAGAAGGGGGGTCTCCCAGGATAACACAGGCGACCCTGGAACCAGACCCGCCACAAATGTAACGCCTGCCAGGGGGCTTCAGGGGCTTTCGCAGCAGGGGCAGGTCCATCCTGTGCCTCCAGGACACAGCGGTAGAGAGAAACCCCGCGTGGGGGGTTTGCATCTGTCCCTTGCCTTGTTTTGGCTGGGAGGCCACAGGATGGACGGGGAGTGCGCCCGGCTCCTGCCTCCCGTTTGTGCTGTTTTGGCCAACGCCAGACAGCTCGTCTCTGATGACACCTGTTTAGAGAAGTTGCTGGACTGGTTTAAGGTGCTGACGGAAGCAGGTAACGGGTTTGCCGTAGGTCTCTTACGGCTGATGAACGACAAAGGGATCCTTGAGGGGGGGAAAAAAACAACATTGCTTTTTAAAAGTGACAATGCGTAGGGCACAATGCCTGGCTGTACCTTATAGATTATAAATAACACAGTTGCTTGCCCTTGGGTGATCACACCTTGCAAGCGGAGGGTGCTTTCATATGGGAATTAGTGCAAAAAAAAGCTTTACAGTAGATGTTTATTTTCTTTGTGTTATCTCCTTCTGATGGGCTGAGATCCTTGCTCTTCCTCAGATGTCACTGAAAGCCTGTGAAAGGATTCATGCTTTAAGGGTGCCCTACATGCGAGCGTGGAGGCTGCTCCGACATGCTGTAATTACAGTGCGTCAGCGCAGACTCGATTAATCAATTAATGTAATTACCGCACTCCAGCCAGCCTCTGCATTTCGTGTATCAGTGTCCACATGCTTTAAAATGCCGGTGGGGGCACTTTATGTAAAGCTCATTCGACAGGTTTTAGATAAAGCGCCCCCACTGCTATTTTGAAGCGTGAAGACACTGATACACAAAGCGCTCTGGGTGCTCCGATTAAAGTGCCCCCACATTTGAAGCACCCGTATAGACGTCCTAATTTTTTTCTAAATATACAAGGTCTTGCTAATGGATAACTAAATGATTATGCTCTGGCTTTAAGGGAGCTTGCTGAAACTCTAAGACAGAATAAAAAGACATCTCTTAGAAATGATAACCAAGTGTCGCTCCATCTCCCATGGATAATATTTCTTTCACAGAATCCAGCCTGCTGCTCTTACAGGAGAATCCGTGCTTGACAGAGCTCATCACCTGTGTGCTAAAATTGGAAGACCCAAGTCCCAGCATTGTCTCCTTTATTCTGAGGTTAACAGGGATTTTTGCAGCCTCTGAAAGCTGCTTCCAGCACTTACAGGTGAGTCAAGGGACTAGTTTCAGACTGCAAATTAAATCTGCATGCAATGCTATCATAGCCAACTGCTTTTTCTATATAACATCATTCAAAAGAAAAATCGTTCAAATATTGTTGGAGTGGGAGAGGGGGGACATGGGGGTGGAAGGCAGTAAAAGCAGCTCCTTGCATCCAGCTGGTTGCATATATAGGACAGCTGTCAGATCCTTGGGAGAGGAAGTAATGACATGGAAAGCGCCATCCCCAAATTGGATTGTATAGTGGTGATGTGTGTGACTACCACACATGCTGTTTTCTTTCACTGACATAGGATGAGTACACTGTTCATATTCTTATAGGAGTATTGTCTTCAGCGACTTTCAACTTTGCATGTCCTCAGTTCTTCATATGTATGTCATTCCAAACAAACCAATATGTTTGCGTGCAACAATGGGGAGGGGAATACTGGTGGGGTTTTGGTATAGACCAGCATGTTAGACGTAAGAACACAATGAATGTTTCTTAGCACCTACCTAGTGTATGTGGAAACAAAAAATGTGGCTTCTTTAATTTGGGATACTTCCTGGAGGTCTCCTACAGTTAATAGGAAATCATCATTAGAGTTTAAATACTCTAATGCACTCGGGATGAGGTAACTATCTGGGATGCCTTTACGATGGGTAAAGATGAAACTAGTCATTGAACTGGAAGCAGGTCCCAGTAATCATAGTCTGATTGCATTCATTGTGAGAATACTTTCTCAATGGCTCCAGAAAAAGGCCAACTACTGAGAGCTGTACAGAGTTTTATGCAAAATTGATTGTGGCGAGAAGGGAGGGATGAAAGGGTTGGGACAAAGGTGTGTGAAATTTGGCCATTCTTGTTAGAAGTTAATAACACCATGGTTAAGGACCTCAAAGATAACTTTGGCTAAAAGCTTATCCTGTTTAAGTGATATAATGAAGGCAACAATTAGAAACAAAAGAAAGTAGCATAAAACACAGAAAAATGGGGAATTAGATAATTATCCGTATCAGTTATCTATGCTTCATTCCTTCCAATGTATAATAAAAGCTGAAGACAGGGAAAAATCCATGGCTGGGAGGGCTAAAGGCAATGTGAAAGAGATTAAGTATGTATATTAGGGACAGAATGATCCTTAGCAATGATACAGATCAGTTTCTAAGAATAGATGATAAAATAGGTATTAACGATGCAAAAAAGGCAGACATACAATAAATTTCTGTTCTGTATTTGGTGAGAAGGAGGATGTACTCATATCGCAGAAGAATGCCAAAGTCCTGTCTAGTTCACTAGTAACTAAGAAAAATGTTATGCAGCATCATTGGATTAAACATGTTGAAATGACTGGGGCTGGGTAACCTGTACAGAAGAGACCCAAAAAAAAGTTGACTGGGGATTTCTGGGTTAAGGATCATTTTCAATAAATCTTGGACTGGAAGACTAGAAGAGTGCTAACATTGTGCTAATGTTCAGAGGTGCACTGATATATTGGTCCATATCAGATCAGCACCAATAAAAGGAAAATTGACATTATCGGCAATTGGTCTTTTTTGGCTGGTGTAGCTGATAATGTCACTGATAAATGTTACATTCATGTGTGCAGCCACAGCATGCATGGGGCCAGAAATTTAGCCTGGCAGCTTGGAGAGCAGTGTCTGGCTGGTAAGGGGCAAATTGAGGTCCCCACAGTGAGGGAAAGAGAGGGGCAGGGACAGGCACTGGCCAGCTGGGGACAAGCGGGGAGGGGATGGAGCCATGGGCAGCTCATTGGGGGGGAGCATGGGAAGGTGGAAAGAGGGGGTAGCTCCCCACTGCTGCATGCACCCCTGGGGGAGGCATGGGAGGCATATGCCCTCTGGATTTGTGCACAGGGCAAGGGTGGGCTGTCTGCTAAAGCTCAGGGCCAGGGGCTGTGCTGGCCTCTTCCCAGCAGGAGGCCTGGACCGGGACTGTGCTCAGGGTGGGCCAGGGCAAGGTGGGTGGTGGTGCCGGGACACTATGGGGTGGGCTACAGCCACCCCAAAATTCACTGTAGCACCCCCCTGCCAGCGCCACCCCTGATCTTGAGCACAGCCATGGCCCAACCCCTCCCACCAGGAAGAGGCTGGCGCAGCCCGTGGTCTGAGCCCACAGTAGGCATCCTGCCCTTGTCCTGCACACAAACCCCGGGGACGCATGCTGCCCATGGCTCCATCCCACACCCTGGACAGTGCCTGTCCCCGCTTCTGTTCCACTCTCTCCCTCACTGTGGGGGCCTCAATCTGCCCCACCCCAACCATGCCCCTTGCCTCCTCCATGCCTCCTTCCCACCACAGACTTACTGGCCGAATGCTGCTTTCCAAGCTGCTGGGCTGCATTTTGGCTATCAGATCAGTATTGGTTACTGGTTAATAATTGGCCATCAATATCAGCCAAAAAAACTCTTCATTGGTGCACCCCTACTAATATTCTAAGGGTAGCGGTCAGCAGGAGGACAAGACATTTAAAGAAAATGGGCCTTGTCAAATAAACCTGATTCCATTCTTTGAGACTACACGTTTGGTTGATGAAGGTAAGGACATAAGAGGTTTTAAAATTGCATGTTGAATGGAGCAAGAACTAGCTGACACATTCCAAAAAGTAGTAGTTGTTACTGAAGAACCTTCAAACAGGTGTCCCTTTCAGTGGGGTTTTACAGAGATAGTCTTATGCCCAATACAATTCCAGGTTACTGATGAAAATCTTGAAGTGAATATAAATTGCTTCTGATAAAATTTACAAATGAGATAAGACTGGCAGCGTAGTAATTATTAAAGACAGGGCAACAGTGCAGAGTGAGCTGGATCTTTTGGTATTCTGGGCCCACATGACAGGTTTTTAATACAGCCCAGTACAAATCCTAAACATCTAGGAACAAGAAGCGCAGCCTATAACTAAAGAATGAAGAACTTTGTGGAAGATATGCTTCAGCCAAACCCCAGATACTAGATTTAGCAAAGGAATAGTTGGGGGAGCTCTATGGTCTCTAGTGGTTGTTTCTGGTCTTAAGCTCTAGGAATCTGTGAAGGAGACAGTCAGACTCATGGGTGCTGCTTTCCATCTGGGAGCAAGGAGGAAAATGTAACCATTTAAATCCATGGAGTACAACAGTTATCTAATTACTGTTTTGCTCAGTAGGTTTATGAGAGCGTCTTTCAATAGGTTTACTTCAGATGTAAAGCTTGCTAGCATATATGAAACAAATTAGCAAACACCAATACATTAATGTAGACTTGCAGACCCACTGTGCTGTGGAAATTCTGACTAATACAGTCCCTGCTTTCTTGTTTCCATCTTGCACACAGAGTAATCATCATTTATACATTGCTTTTCATCTTCAAAGCACTGTGCAATCCCAGAGCACTGGCTGGGTAACGGTACCTCAGTTCCACACAGTCCTTGGATGCAAACTGCAGTAATAGAATATGGGGAGGGGGGCGTTGTATGGTTATGGTAGGAACATGTATCCACAATTTATGCTCTCTGAAAGTGAGATGAATACTATTTTTTTAAATCCCCTGTTACATATGTCAGTAGAAAAAAACTAATTCAAAGGTATCCCTGGAAGGAAGAGAATGCTTGTGAATAAGAAAAAGTCTGAAAACTCCTATGACTGTTACCCATAGGAGTTTTTTCCCCCAAAGCCTTAGGAAACCCTTAGTCCCTTTATGCAACACTTGCATTGTTCTTAGGCTGAGCCTGTGGATGAATAAGCATTTTTGCTAGGTATCCATAGCACCCTCTCGTGAGACTGCTGTAATGAGGTAGCTACACTACCAAATGGACTCTCACGCATTACCATCCCCAGAAGTTTGCCTGCTCCATCTGCTTACAAGGGCTGTCTCTTCTGGTCTCAGCAGGGGGAGTTCTTGTCCAGTCTCTTTGGAGAAGGGGGGCCTATCAACAGTTCACTGTGGGAAGATGCCTCTGTGCGGAGCGGCTGGGTCGAAGGTGTGCGTAGCATGGTGCAGCACCAGAGTGCCATCCAGTTCCTGTGCAGCAGTGGTGAGCGTTGCCTGTCTTAGTCCTTTGTATCTGCCTCTCTAATCCATCGCTTGGGGGGCTGCTTGAGAGGGAGAGTCAAAACATGATGCTGTAGATGCCATTTTTCTTCCAAAATGGAAAGGAAATGAAGAAACGAGGATGGAAAGGGTTCACGTCTTTATAAAAAATAACTTTGCTTTATTTTTGTTACATCAGACATGTATTTCAAGGTTCTTCAGTACAAAAATAGCACATGTTGGTTGGACAAATACAAACTTCCTCAGGGGCAGAGTAAAAATAATTTATCAGAAGGCTGCCAACATTTTAGCTGTAATTATTACCAGAAGGGGGAGTACAAGACTATGATGCTTTAGGGAAATTTGATAGGCGTTCATTCCTGCAAACTTACCTGTACAGGTATATCTTACCTGAGCAGTTCCATTGACTTCAGTAAGATGATGTGAGTAAGTAGGACCTGCTTAGGTGAGAGAAGGTATGGAGAGCTGGGCCCTTGTTTTGCAACACACCTCTCAATCTAATTTACCATTTGCTCGAGTTAATCCTTCATAGATGCTATCAGATGAAACACATTTATGTTGAACTACTTTTTTGTTAGTGAGTTTCTAGTATCACCTGAGAATGTGGAAGCCTTCAGTTTCTGCTGTTTGGGTTTACTTTTTGCACTTCCTTCATTTTTGATGATGAAAACCAGTCAGTTTTACTTCCTTGTTTTTAACAAAAGGAATGTTGCTCTCTAGGGCATAACTACTGCAAAAGAACTATCCCGACACAAACTTCTGCAGACTGTAGGATTCTGAAATCATTCCCTCCCAACCCAAAAAAAGATTTAATTATGGGTATAATCTGATTACAGCCCATATACACTTATATTATTGGTAAACACATTTTATAAGGGAAGCAGTAAGCTATTGTGCTAATTCATTGACTTCTCAATCACTGCATGTTTAGTCTTTCATGTTTATGTTGCATTCTTTTCCATTAAGACATATGGAATTGTAAGAAGGTCCCCAGTTTACAGAAAAACTTATTTTGAATGTTGTGCTCTCTTTCATCAATACAGGAGCCATTGATGTGATCTTCACACTGCAGGGAGACCCCAGCCTGTTTGTGGCTTCAGCTGTCAATCGGCTCCTTGTGCATATTCTCACTTTCTCGCTGCAGTCCGAAACAACCAGCCCTCTCAGCACGAAGGACTGCAGTTGGCCAATGTGTGCCCGAATGATTATAGCACACATTGAAGAGTCTCTTAAATCCAGCTCCGTCTCTCGTATCAAGCAAGACTTGAAGCTGTTAACTAGTGTGTTTGGATGCTGTCATGACCGATGGACTGAAGTTCTTTGGTCATGGATAGCAGAGCCAATTAAATCTCTCTTGAAGGAAGAACCAGGCCAAACAGGACATTCGCTAGTGGACCTGTTCCTTAGCATGGCAAGGTAAACATCTCTTAGAAACTTGGAGTCAGGCAAATGCTGACCAAAGTTTTCAAGAAATAACTGGCTTTCCAAGGTGTATGCATATTAAATAGATGCCAACACTTCTTTCTCACAGGTCTCCTGTGTTTGGCTGTCCTGAGTGCAGCCTGTGGACATCAGTGATACATGCACTGAAGTACTTAAACCCAGCACAAGCTGGTCCTCTGGCTTTGGGAGTTCTGAAGCGCCAAGAATGGTATGACTTGTTGCTATGGAACTCACTTTTTTATACTGTTGGAATATGGTTCTGCAGGTCCCTGAAGCTGTTGTGCTGTATCAAGAAGAAAACTTTTTTGCTGCACCTTGCTGCCCATGTAAGGTTGTTACAGCCAAAAAATGGGTCTAGGACTCCAGGTGCTGTAGGTGGTGATGATTAGGATGGTAGTGTTCAAAGGGGAAGGAACAGGAGAAGCAAAGGCATGCACTCTTCAGTCTCTCCTTGAGGGCAGGAATGGCAAGCTCACTTTAAACTTTTAGCACCAAAGTTACAATAGTTAGGGTAGACACTACTTCGAATGCAAATCAGACTCAGTACTTCTCTCTCTGTGTCTGATTCTCTCTGTTCCTTCCCCTTCACACATGTGATATCTATAACATGAGCACTTCCTTTGGCAGCAGGAATACCTCTCTCTGCTCTAGGAACCACTAACCCATCTGTTGTCTGCCTTCCCCTCTGATCTTCTCTGCCATGCATTTGCATTTTCACAGACCTGCATTTTTGCATACTGACTTGGCTTCTGTCCCATCCAGGAGAGCACAAAACTATTGCAGACTCCCCCTCTGCCTTGAAGAAGGGTCTTTGTATCCAAAAGCTTGCAAAGAACAATTTTTCCAACTATGTAGTTGTTCTAATAAAAGATACCACATTTACCCACAGAATCTTGTCTGCCTCTAAACCAGCACGGAGTTATTTTGAATTAACACTAAATAAGCTACCTGCTGTGGCGCAGGCTGAGTAATACCTGCATTCTGAGAGTATGACGACTTTTGATTGGAAAAGGTTACCCAGGACCCTTCCCTCCAAGATACCCTCTCGCTCCAGATCCTAACAACTGTTGCTGCTCTGAGGTTACTTGGAAACCACAAGAAACTTTCTACCTTAACCCCTGCTGAGCCAGAGAGGCTAGAATCAAACTTAAAGCCTCGGATAACTATATTCTCTGTCGCCAGCTGCTGGACACTGTGGCTGGAGGACTGTCCTCCTGAATTGTAATAAATTAACTTATCCACCTTTTGGGGGGCAAATGCTTTGGGGAGGAACTGAAGTATTCACTGTTGCTTCCTCTTTTTGAAGCCCACAGGCTGTAAGGATCCAGGCCCTGAATGTCCTGCTTCAGCCAATGGACTGTGTTTTGAGATCAGCCTCCCAACCTTTGGAATGCCCAGGTATAGTGGGGATAGACAAGCAACTGATCCACCTGCAGGAGACAAGAATGTGTCCTGTGCAAAGGAAAAAGGCATGAGTGCTCCCTTAAATAAAAGTAGTCTAAGCAACAGGTGCTTAGGAGTGGGACCAAGTTAAGAACAGCATTTGTGGTAAAACTACAAGAATGGAGGACGTCTTATTGGGGAAGGAGTCTTTTAGTAAATTGCTTCATTTCTTCACTTAAAAGTCTCAGCTGTCTTCTCTTTCAAACACTGTTGCTTTCTTCCATGCTGGCTCTGCTAATCTCCATTGTCCCTTCCAGGTTTGCTGGGTGAGTCTGTAAAGGATTCTGCTGTTGTTGAGAATCTTCTGTCCTCCAAGCCGTCTTGTGCTGGTCTCCTGTGTCAGACTCTAGCTCATGTGGAGGAGCTGCTGTGCATGGTAACATTCAGGGAAGGAGTGGGTTCACTCAAAGATGGCATTAAGATTGGTTAGCAACTTCCACTATAGGGTTTAACAGAAATAGAGCAGGGCTTGCACAGATTACTTCTTTAACTGTACGTGGCATTGCTGAGAAATCTAATGTCCCTTTTGCCTCTGTCCCAGTTGCATAACATAGGAATTCCTATTTCATTTTTTAAAGAGGGACTACATTTGACTTCTGTGCGTCCGCTATAGAAGTGAGTTTGAACCTACTGTTCAGTCCATGTAAACTGGGACAGATTCATCTCCTCTTTCACTCACCTATATGCAACTTTACCAGCTAGAACTGCAAAAGTTTGAACTGATGAAATCAAAACAGACTGCTGTCACCTCACATGGTCAACTGGTCACACTGTATCTAGAAGTAATGATAAGTGGTCCTCTTGCCTGTGCAGTGGCATTTTGGGACAGGATGATAATACCTCAATAACTGTCTGACTTCTGTGATATCAGAGATGGGCTTGTTAAAACTAAACAGGCTTCTGCCAGTCCTACTCAACCTCTCTCTTGCTACTTGTATTTTTATATTGTGTACACATACAGATGTGCACAGACACACTGGAAAACTTACCTGATTTCTCTCTCAGACTAGTTTGCCAGTGGATGTGCCCCATATACCTCTGCTGCAATCTGTCATGATAACATTACAATTCTGTAATGGCCTTGCAACTCCAGTCTCCTGTCTGGGAAGTAGGATGAGCAGAATCCTGATTGGTTGCTTCAGAGTTCAGAGGTCAGCGCTTGACCTTCTGGGAGCTCTGTCTCAGTGTGCAAGTGAGTGAATCTTTTCCAGAATTTATGCTCTAGTACATTTATTTTTGAATCTTTGGTCATTCTGGGTTTAAAGGGAGCTCAGAGTACCATGTGCCCCTTCCCTTTTTAAACTTCTGGGTCTGGGACTACTGTCTTGTGGTAAGAAAATGATCGCATTTGAGGCTCCTTCTGCTGTATGTCAGTTTGGCAACACATCTTCATTTCTGGTAAAGTAGAGCAGTTAATGATCAAAGTAGTTTCGATAATTGGGATCTTTCTGTTTTCCCTTGATTTCAGACCTAAGGCATTTTAGTTTTTAACAAGATGAAACTTGTTTGCTGTCCCCCACCCCACTCCCCTACCAGCCAGAAGACGTTTTAGGAACCATAAATGTAGTTTCAGTAGTGGATTTTTCTGGGTCCAGTAACACTGACCCCTCAGTTATTACTTTGCCTGTATTTCAGGTGATGCTGCATTCAAGGAAAGTGTATTTGATATCCTTCTTAAATACCTGGAGGGTCCAGGTAGCAGTCCTACCGTAAGTACAGAATCCTGAGATCCAGAGGAACAGTGATTAGCTGGAGTAGCTTATCTGGTTCCACTAAAATGTGTTTGAAACTGTAAACAGCTGCTTCTCAATAAAGTATGTACTGGAACATTTAAGAGCTTTGTGTCTCAGTTCTGAGACACACACAGGAAGTGGCTTAAGTGTTCTTGACCTAGTAAGTACATGACATAAGTAAGGTCAATGCCCTTAGAGGGAGAGAGAGAGGCAATTATATGCAGTAGTACAATTGATACACTAAACTTCCCTCAACCTTGAGTTTCTAGTCCTTGGTGCTGGGTTTGCCTGCATATGGGTAAAATGATGATTGGGAATATCCTGGAGGATTAAGACACTGGGAAGCCAGCAGCTAGCATTACCCAGTTAGTAGTGGATGTATTCTGGAAGCTTTCTAGGAACACAGGCATGCAGCATTAGAATCCTTGGCTTCAGGAGCTTCATCTGCAGTCACAGAGGATGTTGACTTGCTGTCCCTAGCAATTTCTCTGTGAAGGGGAGGGTGAAGCCAATGCCATCCAGTGGGGAAGCAAACATGCGTCCTATAGTAGTTACGTTTACAATTTTTATTGCCTTGTTTTCAGGTTCTGAAAAAATCATTTCAAGCTACATTCAAATGGATTTTGTGCTTATGTGACCCTCCCAGCTTCAGCAATCACTGGCAGCAGACTGAGCAGGTTCTTCAACGTAAGGAAGTTCTTAATTGGGGTAAACTGAAACCACTGGCCAAGAGTTTAGCTATTGCAGCCATAGTTCCAAGTCAAAAGTAGTAGCATGATAGAACTGCTGCCTTGCTTTCCTTTCACACTCAGCATACTGAGTGCACTTTTATATTTTATAAGTCAGCACTAATATAGACCAGTGACCAATCTGATGTGCCAGAGAGCTGAAGGAAGTATGCAGGAGCACTACAATACATTGTATACAATGCTTAAAAGGACATCAGTGCTCTGAAGAAATGCTACTTTTACCTTTCGTGTTCATCCAGATTCATGGCTGGCTTTCTGCAGGTTTGTTCCTGGCACTGCAGAAGCGGATGTGCAGCCCTTGCTGGGAAGTCCGGGACTCTGCCCTGGAGTTTCTCACCCTCCTAGTTAAACACTTGAGAGGTACGTGCAGAGATAGCAACACTTCAAACTGAGTTAAATGCCTAGAAGCAAAATGCAGCCAGTGAAAATTGGTGAACCTTCCCTCTAGGAGATGGGGAGGCTGCACAAGTGATGCATGCTTACTGAGTGAGAGAGCCCAGTTGTGCAAGGCCTTTCTCCACACTGTAGGCTGACTATTCATTGCCCCTGGAGTGGAAGCCCAGGCACTGTAGCTGGGGCAGGAGCCCACTATAGCTCCTGTGTGGTGGCAGAAAGGGAAGAGTCCCTTTTTTTTCTTTACTTCTGTCTCCAAGCAAAGGAACTCTCCAGCACACAGTCAAGTTGCCTGAGCAGTTTGTGCCTGTGCTTAGGATCATGTGTACATACTGCCAGTGGCACTTTGAGTAATAGTCAATATATATTTTGTAGCTTTGAAACTAGAAGGATTAGACTTCTTTTCTTTTTATGAAGTCTTAAATCCAACAAGCTGAGGCAAGGGCCTGACTTGCCAAGGGGAGAGTTTTTTTTCTTGGAGGAGTGTGCAGATGGATTTTCTGACTTCTAGCACTAAGGTGGGTTTGGGGTTTGACTGGGGGAGGATCTTGCCAGCAGCTGTCTGGTCTCTGCAGTGGCTCAGCTCACTGGCAGCTGTCCCTGTAGTCAGTGGGCAGAGTTACAGGATGCATGGGGCTGTTTGCAGTGGAAACAGTTTGGAGCTGGTTAGTGGAATAAAGTTTTTTCTGTGGACTTGTGTATTTACAGAGTGGGACAGGTTCAGGCAAGTTCTCTTCTCTTCGGAGGTGCCAGGACTGACAGAGGATCTTCTTCAAGACCCAGAGAGTTATGTGCGAGCAAGTGCTGTGGCTGCCACAGGGCAGCTTTCCTTCATCACCCACCTTGTCCCAAAAATACCAGCCCCAGATGATGGAAACAACAAAGAGGTATAGCAGAAGAGACTGTTAGCCTCGTCGAACCCACAGTATAGTCTAGCAGAATTTCCCATCAACAGTTGCACTGCTGTTAAGTTAGATCACGACTTTTGGAACTCTTTAGACATTGCTTAAAAAAATACTGGGGACTGGTGTGAAAACTGGGGAGGCAGATTCCACAGCTGTTTATTAAAATGTGTCAGCAGTAGAGAGAGACTGGATTGTTCTGAGCTCTTTAACCCTTATTTCCTTCTTTCTCTTTGCCCGTTTTGTTCTTAGGAAGACATTGTAACAGAGTTGCACAAAATCTTATCCACCGACTCGGAGGGCTTCCCTCGAAGGGCTGTGATTCGAGTCTTCACTGACTGGCTGAGAGAAGGCCACGCAGAGGTGCTAAAAGACACTGAGCAGTTTGTCTCCCGAGCAATCCAGGCTGTGAACGGTGACTTGGACTGGGAAGTCAAAGTCAGTGGTTTGGAACTGGCTCAAGTGTTTTCTGCCCAAACGCTTAGCCAGCTTGGCCTTGCTGGATGCCCATATTCTGCTGTCTTATCCTCTGCCACCCGTTCCACTTGTCTGAACGAGTCCCTGCAGATATTTCAGCGAGTGAAGTTGTTTGAGTTCCTTTTTGGTGCGTTGTGTGACTGTGACAGACCAGTAGCTCAGAAAGCCTGTGAAATTCTCCTGGCCTTGAAAGCTCAGCTCTGTGATGATAGCCTGACAGACAGGCTGGGACCTGGAGGTTTGCCTGCAGAAGCGCACAGCCTCGCTCAGTTAGAAACGACTGTGAGGAGATGGATGTCCCAGGCCCAGACCAATCCCAGTGGTGATGGCAATGGGGTTAGGTCCCATGAGCCACACAGTGTCCTGCTGGTTCTGGGAACAGTTGACTTAGAGGGGCTCCGCGCAGCTCTGGATAAGAGTAGTGATCACATTGAGAAGAGCCCCCAGTCCCTCCTGCAGGACATCCTGGCTACTGTGGGGACACTCGAGGAGAATGAAGCTGACTGCTACTGACCTCTGCGCTAGGCTTCTGCTCTGACCGGACATTAATTGAAGCCACTGTCTGGTTGCAGAAGAATTTGTTTGCTACCCATGAGTAGAGATGAGGGATATAGTCTGGAGAAAGAGAAGCTGTTAGGGAGTCTGTCCTCCTCCTGGGCCTCTCCCTCTCTTGAATGGGTTAGACTGTCTTCTGGGTGTGCTGCCATTTCCCATGTGGTGCAGTCATTGCCAAAGAATGATTTTTGTTAAATGCACATTTTATATTAAATTGTTTCTCAGACGGATGCCTCCACTTCATTTTAATACACATCCTTTGCTTTAGCCTGTGCTAGGGAAACTTACCTAGAAAGCCACTCATTCAAAATGGGTTAAAAGTGCTGGTGGGTACAAGGCAAAGAAACTGATGGGCCCTTTTTCAAAGGCAGGATTTTAAGCCCATTTGGAAGCCGATTTCATGAGGCTGAGACATTAAAAGGGATCTATCCAATCTGGCCTTGCCCATATTACTCTTCTGAAAACCAGAGGCCTGCAGCAAGCTTCCCTGCTACAGAATAGGTCTAAGGCCACAAGAGAGCACTAAGGGCAAGTCTTAACAGGGCACTGAATACTTCTTGTAATTATGGAAGCAGGCTAAGTAAGAACAATGTTGGCTAACTGCTTTTCCTGGCAGGTGAAAACCAGAGGTGCTAGAAATGACCCTGCCTTCAGAGGGTCCCTGGCCCCAATCCAGTCGCCAGCCCTTCAGAACACCGCTGGTCTTTACTCAAGAAGAGCTGGAAAAGCTGCTCTTGGATGCAAAGGCTTTAGGTACCTAAAGCCTTCAGACAACACCACCACCAGGCTTTTGGTTTTGTCTCTTGTAAACAAGTCTCTTTAATTAAAAAGAGCAGCTCACCTAAGTGGCAGCACTGCTTTCTGAGAAGAGGTTGGCAGCTCTTAGAAGACAGCTGGGAGAGGACTGTGCCATTTACAACTTTAGCAGACCCAGAAAAAAAGGAGACTGCATTAAAAATCCTCCTACACAGTGAGGAGAAAGGTAACCATAGCAATAGTCTCAAACCATAGCTAAGCCCCCTGAACACAGAGCTAGTACTATATGGATGATGCCTTGGAGGCAGGCCAAGAACAAACCATTCCTTTTCTGTGGGAGGATACAGAAGGGGATATATCCTTCCTCATCGAGATAATTGAATCCTTAACTGCTGCAGCTGGGGATTTTTGAATTCATGGCATACCCTTTTATGAATTTGGGCAACTTACCTGCCCCTCGGCACAGAGGCTTCCACACAAGCCTAAAGTTTGTTAATGATAGCTCTTCAAAGAAGTAGCAGCTTTTGATGATGTACATCCCTACCCAGGCAGGGGCTGTTCCTGACCAGAGAGAGGAAAAAAATAGAACAGTAAGCGCAAGCTTGCCATTTCCTCCCAGACGGTCAAGCTTAGAAGCTGCAAGGGTTGCTAAAGAAGTGACCAGCTACTTTTAAGGTAGCAGGTTGTTCTGCAGCCAAATTCTCCCATTGTAACTCATCAGGCCCTGCTGATAAGCAGATTTTAGCAGTTCAGAGGCACCTCTCATTGGGTGTGTCCACACATGCAAGCACGTGCCCTTGCAGCAGCTCAAATAGAAGTGGTGCACATTTGAGCTGGG